GAGGGCCCCGTGATGGCCTGTCAGCCTCTCGGTCAGCTACAATGAAGAAAACCAAAACCAAAGTGTGAGTCCGGAGTTATGTGGGACAAATCCCACCAAGGCGGCTACTTACCCTCTCCTGAGTGGGCCTGGCTCCCTCAGGCTCCAGCTTCATCCTGATTCCAAGGCTGTGGCCTTTATTAGGAGTGGCACCTGGGTTAGAGAAAGGCAAAGTTAAATGGCATTCCTGTGAGTGCAGTGGATGACCTTGTGTGCTGTAAGACATGTGAAAACCTCTGCTAGGCTTCTGAGAAGCCTTGTGTAGGGGGGCCCTCAAATAAACAAATAAACACCCTCTCTCACCCTGCTGCCTGCAAACCTCCCCCTGCCCACAATAACTCCTAACTGGATACCTGCTCACCCTCCCTCTCCTAGTCACAATCCTCAACTCACCTGAAACCTCAATCTCAAACATCAGCCTTCACACTGGGCACATGCCTCTTGAGACATGATTAATCTGCTGAAAAATTGTTGTGCTTGAGAGCTGAGCAATAACAACCACTTCTCTCCACTGCTCACCTTGGCTGCTGGTATCCAGATTGACTTCCTAAAAAGAAAGACAAAGAACAGAGCTGTAACACTGCCACCATATACACTTCTGCTGCAGACACAAATGGGGCCTCACCTGCTCAGGGCAATCCCCTCACCCGGGATGGGGCCCTCTGGCACAGATTTAATCCATCTGAATCTGAAAAAAAAAGTTAGGACAAGAGTCAAACTGTTGCAGGATAAGGTAAGAGCTCCAGATATCCTGTGTCCATCTACAAATCCCATCTAGAGTCCAACTACGCCCCACATTACAAATTCCAAGTCCCCGGGGCTTCTCCTATTGCACCAGGCTATGGCAGCAGGGCAGAGCAGCTCCAGCACAAATGTGTGCAGACACCCGTGACACAGGATAGACAGGACGTGACAGACAATGGGGACACAACACAGACAGAAACCTCTTGGCAAGGAAAATGGCTGCAAGGACTGAGAGAATGCAAAAGGCGATGACCAAGCTGAGACCGATGGTGAGCTGATGAGGCTCAAAGAATCCTGGAGAAAGAAGATGCTAACTGTATGATTGATTCCAAGAACAGCAAAGATGGACGCCTAGGAGTCCTACGGTCAGAAGCCTCTGCCTGCCCTCACATTCTTTCAAGTCCTAATCCACCATAATGGATCCAGGTGGGTCATAGCTGTCCATACAGCTCAGAACAAGACCTGACAAGACATCTGACTGGATGCTTCCAAAGAGAGAACTTTTGACTGGGGAGCTCAGACAGGTATCAGAATCACATCTATGGCCTGGGTGCCAGGCCAAGGAATGCAGACATCAAAGATGCTAAGAATGTTGCCAAGGTTTCTGACAGGCTCCTCAAAGGGCTAAGGTAGAAGACATGAGATACACAAACAACACATAATGCACAACAGACAAGTGACACGATACACACCGGGACTGCTCTGCCCTGCTGCACACCTCAGCAAAGTGATCAAAAGCGAGACTTGGCTTTTATGGGGCCTAAGGTGCCACGTCTTGGCTACCCTCGTCTCCAGAGCCAACTCAAACCCCCCACCCACCCCAGGGAGTCCTGACCCAGCACCCTGCTTCCATCCCTCTGTGGGCCGTAGCCCTCCACTTATCGCTCGACATCAGGGGATGCTGGTCTCAGGTGCAAAGAAAGGCCACATCGGCACCTAGGAAAGTCCTGCTGGCACCGGGCTGGTGTCTCCCAGACAGCTGTATTAAAGAAAACCAAACATCAGTGTCTGGTCTTGGCACCACATCAGCCAAAACCCCACCACTCTGCTACTCACCGCACTCCTAACAAGGCCCAGCACCTCCTAACCCTGACCCTCTGCCACACATGGAATGCATTTGCACCTGAAAGAAAGTTAGAACATATGTCAAACACCATCAGGATAACTCACAAGCTGCAAACACCTTATGTCAATCTAGGAATAGCATCTAGAGCCCATGTACACCCCACATTACAAATTCCAACTCCCCAGGCCTGTCCCATTGCAGCAGGCCTATTGCAGCAGGCCTATTGCAGCAGGGCAAAACAGCTCTGGCACAAATAAGTGCAGACACCCGTGACACAGAACGTGACAAACAGGGGGACATGAAACACGACACATCATGCTTGTGGTGAGGGCCTCGAGGGGAGAAGGCAAAAGGGACCCCAAAGACACACTAGGTAAAACAGCACACCAGACAACACGACACAGACCAGAGCTGTTCTGCACTGCCCGCCTGAAAGCTGCCATCAATAGTAGAGCCTCTCCCTTCAGCTGTCCTAAGAGGATCTTGGACAAGATTGCCTTCCACTCTGCTAATCTTTAAATCTGCCCCAAGAACTCCCAACCCACTACTCTCCCATCAACCCATCTCCAGGCCATGGCCCCTGACTTATCTTTTGCATGATTAGTGATGGGAATCCACATTGCACCTGAAATGAGTCTGCCTCAGAGGGCCCCGTGATGGCCTGTCAGCCTCTCAGTCAGCTACAATGAAGAAAACCAAAACCAAAGTATGAGTCCGGAGTTATGTGGGACAAATCCCACCAAGGCGGCTACTTGCCCTCTCCTGAGTGTGCCGGGCTCCTTCAGCCTCCAGCTTCATCCTGATTCCAAGGCTGTGGCCTTTATTAGGAGTGGCACCTGGGTTAGGGAAAGGCAAAGTTAAATGGCATTCCTGTGAGTGCAGTGGATGACCTTGTGTGCTGTAAGACATGTGAAAACCTCTGCTTGGCTTCGGAGAAGGCTTGGGAGGGGCCCTCAAATAAAGAAATGAACACCCTTTCTCCCTCTGCTGCCTTCAAATCACCTCCCAATAACTTGTAACTGGATACCTGCTCACCCTCCCTCTCCCAGTCACAACCCTCAACTCACCTGAAACCTCAATCTCAAACATTATCTTTGACACTGGGAAGATCCCTCTTATGATATGATAAATCTGCTGAAAAAAATGTTGTAATTGACACAACCAGGGACCTCTGGAAGCTGTGCTCCTCCCAAAACCAAGAAGACAATGAAACAAGAATAACACAAGAGATTACAAAGGTGCTTTTCCCCCCCTAAGCACAAAATACAAAATCATGGTCTTAAATACTCCCTGTATTCCATGCTGTTTTCTTCACAGAATCTTCCAAGCATCTGTGCTTTAGATGCCCAGAATCACCTGCTGAAAAGAAGCTGAGATAAGCTGAAAGAGCCTCTTCACTGAAATGAGAGGAGAGCTCTTACCCCAGCACATCCCAGAGAGGGAATGAAGTCCCTCAGCCACGGCTGGGGTTAATATACCCCTGATGGTGCCCGCCCCTCGTTCCCATGGCTCCCAGGAAAAGGGAGGGGGCGAATCCCACCGGGTATAAAAGCCCTCAGAGCAGCTGCAGTTATTTGGTTCCTCTGACTCAGATTCAAGGGGAGTAAGGGGCTTGTTATAGAAGAAAACTCTTCAGAAAACAGCACTTTCTTTTTTGCAACAGCTAGTTGGAGCAGAAGAAGAGAAAACTGGTAAGACATACAACTTTGTGTTTAGGTAGCATAGCTAGATAAATTGGGTAATTTGCTGTTAACTTATGTAATTATTCTGTGTTTCATAAAAGCTTTCTAATAAATTCACACCCAAAGCTCCAGCAGCCCAGCTGGCCCTACCAAATCTGTATGTTTATACATGCAGTAAACAAAACCAAAATATCAATAATACTTATCCAAAGTCTTTGAAAGAAACCTATTGAAATTAGCACTACCTCAAATACAAACTAATCCATCTGGAAAGTTCACTTCACTCAAAACACAAATTACACAGAGTTAATAATACCGAGAAATGAAGCACCATACCATATGCCACCAATGAATATAATGCTGAAGGAAAAAAAACCACTTATTTTTTTTTTAAGTTTAAACTAATGGGTTTTATTAGCTAAAACTAAAGATTTTGCCAGGATTGTGACAACAACAACTTTTTCTTCCTCTGAAATGTCCCTTCTGTTTCCCAAATTCCTTACAACTTCTGAGTGTAAGTCCAAGCAAAAAGGGAAATTCGTGCACTTGTGTGTTCGATGCTCCTCTCAGATTTTCTGTTTTCCTCTACATCTTCTTATACTTTCAGTCTTCACGCTGCTCTGCTGTGATGAGTTTGACAGAAGAATTGGTAAATATTAAGAGAGGATTTCCCTCCCTTGCCCCCTCCCGTCCTCCCTCCCCAGAGCTGGTTTCCTCAGCGCATTTCACTCAATCCCAAATCTGCACTGATGCACGCTCCCCGCACGGCTCACAGCTGTTCGGCTAAATTCAGCTGTTGTGGGCTCAACTCGGGGATTGTCGGCCGCATTCGGCTGTATTGGTCTCTTCGGCGCGGCTCGGCTCGCTTCGGCCGGACTCGGAGCCGCTCTGTGCGCTCGGCTCGGCTCGGCTCGGACAGCGCTGGCGGGGATGCTGGGGGTGGGACTGTTGGCGTGTCAGTGCAGGGCCAGGGGTAGGACGCGATGATCCTTGTGGGTCCTTTCCAGCTCGGATATCCCACGGCTCTATCCCATGACTGCAGCTGCAAGACGCTGGCTTCAGACGGCTGCTCGCCGAGCCGGAGCGCGGTGAGTACGGCAGCCCTGTGCCCGGCGCGGTGAGTACGGCAGCGCTGTGCCCGGCGCTGTGAATATTGCAGCGCTGTGAGTACGGCAGCCCTGTGCCCGGCGCGGTGAGTACGGCAACGCTGTGCCCGGCGCTGTGAATATTGCAGCGCTGTGAGTACGGCAGCGCTGTGCCCGGCGCTGTGACTCGAAGGCGGCTCTGTCCGCACGGCTGTTCCCGAGCCCGTCCCTCGGGTTTGGCTCCTCGCGGTGCTCCCGCAGCGGGGCTCGGCGCTGGCTGTGCTCGGTTAGTTCAATCCAGGGCTCCGTCCCGGCTCCGGCCAGTGCCCGCCCTCGGCTCCTCCCCTCCGGGGCGGGCGGCGCAGTGCGGAAGGAAGGAAGGAAGGACGGACGCGGGCCGGGAGGAAGCGGATCCCGCCGGTCCGCGGCACCGGGTGGGGCGGCCGTGCGGGCGCACGGTGAGCGGGGCGGCGCCGCGGGCCGGCCGGGGCTCGGGGGACTCCTGCCGGCTCGGGGCGCTCCTGCGGGGTGGGCCAGGCCGGTCCCTGCGGCGGCCCGGCGGGGTCGGGCAGAGGCCGGGGCGGGCGGTGCGCGCTGCTCCGAGGGCACGGAGCTGCCGGCAAGGGAGGGCAGGGCCCGCAATGAGCGACTCTCGCTGTGCCCGTTCTGCCGATGCTCAGCACGGCGATGGGGCTGCTCTCGCGTTTGTTTATGGTTTGCTGCGCTGAGGGAGTTCCGGGGGGGGTTTTAGGATCGCACTCGCGTGTGGCTGGCAGGCAGCGTCACCAGCACGGCGCTGCGATGCTTCGGCCGCCGCAGGGCAGGGTTGGCATCCAGATCAAACGCTGCTTTCGTGAAGGAAGGCGGGGGGAAAGCCAAAAATAGGTTGACGTGTTTGTTCAGTCCTTTAAAATGTCTTGATGGCTTCAGTGTTTAAAATATCCTGTCCTTTTGTACAAGGGCAGAATTGGTGAAAAATATCTGAAAATTGAAGGCTCTCCCTCTGCTTTTGGCGCTAGTATACCATTAAGGTGCCTGCTGCTCTTCCATATTGCTGGTAGCTGGAAAACCTTTTTTTGTTCTATTTCCCTGCCAAGAAATCCTGTTTATCAAGTTTTGAGAAAGAAATTTAAGCTAAAATGGAGTAGGGTTAGATTTAGGTGTGTTCGCTGAGAAGGTGTTGAGGCCCTGGGACAAGGTGCCCAGAGAAGCTGTGGCTGCTCGATCCCTGGAATTATCCAAGGCCAGGCTGGACAGGGCTTGGATTAACCTGGGATACTGGAATGTGTCCCTGCCCATGGCACGGGGGTGGCACCGGAGGAGCTTCAAGGTCCCTTCCAACAGAAACTAATGTGGGGTTCTGTAAAATTCTCGTTGTCTGAAGCAACCTTTCAAATAAATCCAGATGTTGAAGGGTGTTTCTCTGGCTAGTTCTGTTTTTGAAACACTCTTATGCTATCTTTGGGTAATCCCTGTATTTTTTTGGACTTAGATAAACCAAATCTCGTGAGGTAGGATGGGGGAGCAGGGGATTTGTTGTTAGGTTTTGTTGAACACGTGGAATCCCAGGGAAAGGATTCAATCCAGCTTTGTAGGGGGGATTCACTGACACCATTCTGTTGCCAGGGCTGCCCATGCTGAGGCACCATGGCTTTCAGCAAGGGCTACCCAGTCTGTCCCAGGCTGGATCGCTGACACCATCCATCTTGTGTTGCCAGGGCTGCCCTGCCGAGGCACCATGGCTTTCAGCAAGGGGTTCCGAGTGTATCACAAGCTGGACCCGCCTCCCTTCAGCGTGATGGTGGAGACCAGGAGCCGGGAGGAGTGCCTCATGTTCGAGTCCGGAGCCGTGGCTGTCCTCTGTGAGTCCGTCTGGGTTTGTGTGGGAGGGGTGGCAGACCTGGTGCTGTGTGAGCCATTTCGTTTGGGGGAGGGAGAGGAGCAACTCTGCTGCTTTTCTGTCTGCTGATGAAGAGGCTTCTGGTTTAAATGAGAAAAGAGACAGTTTCTTATCTTCATCTGTAGAGAGAGAGTGTTGCACATTGCATTACATTTCTTTATACATCTATATTTTTGCATCCACTAAACTTTCTTACCGTTGCCTCCAACATCACCTTGTTTCTTGGGTTCTGAACAACCCTGTTTTGAACATGTGATAACTCGCTGACCAGCTAATTCTGATGTTGCATTTCATAGCAATAAATTCTGTGTTCTTGAATGTTATATCATAATTTGGTTTTATCTCATTTTGTGTGATTTTTGGTAGCTTTTTGGTTTTTAGGTTTATTTTGCCTCTGTATTTTTCACCTCCCTCTAGACTGAGTATTGCTCTGTCTTGTAATAAAATGAGTAATATTTTGAAGTAGGATGTCTTGCATTGCAAAGTTATTTTTACATGTCTTAAGTGAAAAATGCGTGAGATAGTTCCTTAAATTTTTGCCCCCTCGTTTTTTGTTTTGCTGGAGAACACTAGAACAAGAAGTGCAGAAGAGAACCTTAAGGCCTCTACATAGACTTTTAAAATATGTACTATTATAAAATGTGTTTGTGTTCTTTAGAAAGTCAAAGCACCTGGTTGCATAGCTTTCCTGAGCTGGATTTTGGCTCCTCTGCAGAAAGCTTTCATTCCATGGCAGCAGTTTTCTCCTTAGCCAGCACCTGTTAGAGGCCAGGCAGTGACTGATGTGGCTGCTGCAGCTGTGTGATGGTCCAGCTGAACAGTGGGTGCTTTGCTCCTGTTTTTAAAATTCTGCTGTTTCTTTTCCTGGTACAGTTTCTGCTTGCCATGTATTTAAGTAATCCCCTTGGCTTTGCTAGTAGTAGTATCCGTAAGGCACTGTGGTGTGGATTGGGGATAAGTGTCCAGTCATAAAGGCAGCAAACAGGTTTAGTGCAAGCTGTGAAAGGTGTTGGAAGATTTGTGGAACAGGTTTATTTTATCTTTTTTGATAATTATGGAATGTGCTTGACCTGCTTAAGGGCTAACAGATGAGAAATGGTTTATTCCTGAAGGTTATGCTGGAAAAGGGCAGTGAGTCACTTCTCTTGGCAGGGTACACTGCAGGCACCTGGATAAATGGCCTTTCCTAAGAATTAAATACCATGTCACAGTTCTTGCCCACCTTGTTGTTACCAAGCAGAGGAAGGCAGCCCCGAAGGAGCTTGGAAGCCTCTCTGCCCTTGTGTTTTGTGCTTTGGGGTAGCTCATCATTAATGTGCACAGCAGTGTCCTTGGGGTTCTGACTGGTGGGTTAGGTCACAGCACATGCTCATTCTCAGCTGGAAGTAGTTACTGAGCGTTGTTTGCAGTGAGCTTAACCAGGAGACGGGTTATTCTTTCTCTGGTGCATGGGCGTAGTTTTCCACTGACTATTTACAGTGGCATTTTGCTTGAATTTCCTCTGTTTTATTTCCACCTAATTCCCTAAATTCTTTAGGTGCTGATACTTTTCTTAATGGTTGAAGATCCCAATCTTAAACTGACAGCAGAAAAGGCCCAGGAGTCCCCTGGCTCAGGTTTCTTTCTCCTCTTTTTCTGCTTGCTGTTCCCATCTGGTATCTGTTCTTTTTAGCACATATTTAAAGGAGCACAGTTATTACTACTCGGGAGGGTTTGTGAAGTGTTGCTTTATCTCACTGGTCGTGTCACAGAATCCAGCCAGAAGATTGCAGGCTGTAGCTGTACGAACTTACAGGTGTTTGCACAAATTATAGACCAAGTTAATGCAGTACTGCTGTGCCTTGGGCAAGATTTCCCATGTTTGTAAAATCACTGTGAATAGACAGAAAAACGGTCTGACCAAGTATATATCAATGTAAATCCAGAACAGCATCACTTTAAACTGCCAAAAGCTTCTGGGTTTTGATGATGGTGCTGCTGCTTTTTAGAGTACAAAAATTGACAATGCTGACCTCAAGACTGTTAGACATTTTCCCAAATATTGTAGTAAATACTGGAGATGAATTAACACGTTTAGCCTTATAGCTGGTCATAGTTCTTAGCTGTGTGTGGAGTGGGTAATACATGCACAGCTGAGTAGATAATACCTGCGCAGCCCAGTGAAATACATTTTAGCATTAAAACTCATTCATGTGGCTCAGTTCTGAGAGCCTTAGTGAGCTGCAGCTCCTGGAATATCCAGGTGCAGAAATGTGGCGTTGAAACGGGCTATGAGAACGGAGCGGAAGCTTACTGATCCTGCAGACACCATCTTAAAGGAAGCACGTGTGTCGCTGTGCTGCGGGAAGGATAAAACTGCTTTAACCTTCCTCCCCATGCCCTCGGTGAGGCTCTGCAGGATGATTCAGAGGATTCAGCCCAGCCTGGGTAGGAAATGCTGCACGGCTCAGGTGGTGCAGCACCTGGCGTTCAGAGTGTGTGCCATGTGCTGTTCCCGTCAGCCAGGTCCGAGGGAAGCAGGGAACAGGGTGGAAGGGATGGTTCAGAGGTGGTGGTTGTGTAACCCCCAGTCTGAACGTGGGAGCAGCCCAGGCCATGCTTCTCCTGGAGGTGCTCTGTGTGGATTATCTCATGTTGCTGTGGCTGATCACCTGAGCCATGCTTTGCTTTCCTGCGTGCATTTAACACCTCTTTGGTTGGTATTGGGTTACTGGAGTGTGGGGATCCTTCTCAAACCTGGTGAGAGCACCTGGGTTTAAATGCCAGCAGCTTCACTGCTGAGTTGTTTGGAATTTAGTGGGAGGGTATCATAGATGTGTTTTTGTTGCATGGGCAGTGTATTTATCCTTGGAAATAGGGCTTTCTGAGATGTCTGAACTGGATAGGTTTCCCTGGCTGGGCAGGAGTGTGTTTTCTCCCTCTCCTGCTGGTGACTCATCCCACATGAGTGCTAAGCTGTCTGTGCTCCTGTCCCTGCCATGGAGAACATTCTGTCTGATAAACACGGAGCTGTGAGCGTCACGGCATCCCTGGGACCTCAGTGCCACTGCAGGTGGAGCAAGGGGAGCACACCTGGGCTCAGTGCCACTGCAGGTGGAGCAAGGGGAGCACACCTGGGCTCAGTGCCACTGCAGGGCTGAGCAGGGGAGCACACCTGGGCTCAGTGCCACTGCAGGGCTGAGCAGGGGAGCACACCTGGGCTCAGTGCCACTGCAGGTGGAGCAAGGGGAGCACACCTGGGCTCAGTGCCACTGCAGGGCTGAGCAGGGGAGGCACACCTGGGCTCAGTGCCACTGCAGGGCTGAGCAGGGGAGCACACCTGGGCTCAGTGCCACTGCAGGGCTGAGCAGGGGAGCACACCTGGGCTCAGTGCCACTGCAGGGCTGAGCAGGGGAGCACACCTGGGCTCAGTGCCACTGCAGGGCTGAGCAGGGGAGGCACACCTGGGCTCAGTGCCACTGCAGGGCTGAGCAGGGGAGCACACCTGGGCTCAGTGCCACTGCAGGGCTGAGCAGGGGAGCACACCTGGGCTCAGTGCCACTGCAGGGCTGAGCAGGGGAGCACACCTGGGCTCAGTGCCACTGCAGGGCTGAGCAGGGGAGGCACACCTGGGCTGCCGGGATCTGTAGTAACCTGTGTGCACCCTGGTAGCTGTTCACTGCCATGGGGAGCAATGGTACTCAGACCACTCCTTAGTGAGGAAATCCTTCCATGCACATCAGCCAAGGTGGTCTCAGCAGGCCTTGAAAAGCAATGTGGCAGGGTTTTCTCATCCCCAGCATTGTGAGCTGAGCCAAAAAGTGTCAAAAGAAGAGGTGTCAAAAGTAATAAAATAGATATTTGGTTGGTTAATTTAATAGGTGAAAGTGGTGACTCTGTTCTGATTGTGGTAATATTTGGGTTTTAGCTTTAATTTGAATACCAAAAATCTGACAGTCGTAATTTGACAAAGCCCTTGAAAACCTTAGTCTAAAAAGATCAATACCAAATGGTGTTCCTAAATTTTTCACAATTTTTTCACATTTGTTTAGGTTCTAAACCTTTTAAAATGGTAGTTGTGTGTGCTTTGTCTCGTCTAGTGTAAGTTAGAAGTCCTGGGTCTGAAGGAAAAGCATTCTGAGAGTCCCATGTTCTACCTGGGAACTGTAGGCACTGACTGAAATGTGCTGTCTCATGGCCCCTGTGAGCACACCAAGAACAGAGAAAGCCTACCTGGTGACTTTGAGTGTGATCCGACCCTTTCAGGTGTTAAAACTGGGAAACTCATCTCTGCATCTGGAATGAAGGGGAATACACGTTGAAGCAGATTATCCCAAAAACACTATTGTTGATGGGGTTCCATTTCTGTAAAACTGGGAGGGCTGATGTATTCCCTTCAAAATCGTGGAATTGTTCACCTTTGGGGTTCCATTTCTGTAAAACTGGGAGGGCTGATGTACTCCCTTCAAAATAATGAATTGTTCACCTTTCTTGTGAGAGTCTGTGATTGAGCAGGTGTGCTTTTTACAGATGGTGTTGTAAAATGCTCTTGGCTGTTAATCCTTAATAAATAGTGACTTGAAATTTTGTTGTTTTTCTCTTGACACTGCAGATTGGGTTTTCTCCAGAGTACATTACAAATTGATTTGAAAATCACTTTGCAAGTGTTGTGATCCTGTGCAGTTTTTTGTTAGTTTGGTTTGGGTTCCTTGGTAGTGCCTAACAGTGATCCTGCAAGGATAACCTTTCTGTTTTTGGAGGGCTGCAGATGGGGTCAGTGGGACTGGTGCCTTGGGCTCTCAGAGAGCAGATCTGGCCTGTTCAGGAGGCTGGGTAGGAGTCCTTGGGAGGAGAAAGGGAAGGAGTGTGGTGGAGCTGTGTCTGCCCGAGTCCATCGTGGTTTGCAGAAGCTGCAGTGCTTTTCCTGGATGTTGTAACACTGCTGACCACAGCAACTTCCTCACTGGGCACTGCCTGGAAAGCAGAAGTCTGGTGGGCATGGACCAGGGCCGGATGGAGGAAATGATGCCAAATTTGACGTTTTCTCATGTGAACTTTGGCCTTAAAAAACAACTTGAGGTGGGAAAAGTGCAGGCAGTGTGAGAGAGAAACACTGAGGTGGTCACTGTGGAAAAGCTTTGAGGCCACACTGAATTGGGGCCAATGAAAATGAAAAGCATGGCATGAAACGCTTTTGGTTGGTTCTTGGGCACTTTAAGCAAACAGCAATTGACCAGCCACAGTAAGCTGCTCTGGTTTTATTTGATTAGTTGGTTGGTTTTGCAACCCTTTGCTGCTCTATTGGCCTTTGTTGGCCTTTTTTGTTGGTCTGAATTTGCAAAGCCCACGTTACTTAATTTACTTTTTGAGGCTTAGCAAGGATATCCAGCATTCTCTGCACTGGAAAAAGAGAATAAATCCGTGTGGGACAGAAAAGGCATTGTTCTGACATGTCACTAAATCCCAGCAGACGCCTCTAAGGAAAATCCTGCAAGAAGTTTGAAAGGAAACCTGATCTTTCCATAATCATTTCAGTTGTGGAGGGAGAACACGGCAGCTTTCTGGGAACTGAGTTTAGAAGAGTGCGTTGGTATCGTGAAACCCGTTCTCAAAAACAGACTGAAGGAACCAGGGTCTGAGGTTTAGGAGTTCTTCCCAGCCCAGTGGTTTTCTGGTTAAGAAAAACACACTTTGGTGATGCTCACAAAATGTTTTTAGATGAGCTGCAGGTTCTTAGCACTCACCCTGGGTGAGGACTTCAGAAGTAGATCTTCATATTGCTATCAAACTATTTTTATTACATCTGTATTAAAGGAATATTAGTGCAATGAGGTAAAGAAACTTTTAAGAAGTCCACTGAATAAAACATTGAATAGGGTTGGATTTCAGGCTGTGGTTAAATAATTGTTTAGTCTGTTTTAAGTGTCTGATCCACTGTAATGAAAGAGCTGGCGGGTATTTGAACACAAGGGTTGTGCCTGTGCACAGGCAGGGCTGTACTGATCTTTGGGGATGCTTGTTGGGAAGAGCAGTTCTAGGTAAAATAGAGGGTTTTTATTCTAACTAAAATAGAGACTTTATTCTAAATGATGCAGCTGATGTGAGAGAGGACAGCGGAATGCCAGGGCAGATGGGCGTTTTGATTTACTCCTCTCCATGTCATGTCCTGAGGTTTTCAGTGCCAAAGCAGAACGGTGCTGATTGTTGGTAGCCATGGAATCCTGATCCCTGCAGATCCGGTGGCCAGGCGGAAATTGTTGGTGTTCCCTCCTGGTGCAGTCGTGGTCGTGAGCAGAAGCTCAGGCCGGGTGGGATCCAGGGGTCCTGCTGCTCTGGCTGTTACAGTGCTGATGGAAGGGCTCAAATATTCACTGAACTCCCAGGAGAGCCATGGCAGATAAACTTGAATTTCTTCTAATGTATGACAGGGCTGTTTTGTGTGTTTTGTTTCAAAACTGCCTGTGGCAATTGTGTCTTCCCCATTCATGTAAGACATGGCTTTTCAATACCAGTTTTTGCAGACCTGCAAGAGTTCTGATCTGCTTGAAATATTTCTAAGATAGTTAAAATGGACTTGTAATAGTCTTGTGCAGAGATAACACTGCCACATGATGGCTTTATTCTTGGAGAAAAAGGGTAATTTAAAAAGGATAATTTTTTTCCATGAAGAAAACAACATTAAGCGCTAATTTTAATTACAGGAGAGCCTTCTCAGTCATCTGATTTGTCTGTGCTGTACATGCTTTTTATAACAAGAGATGATGTTGTTAAAATGCCAGCGTTCTCCTTTAATGTCACTTGGAGTTTTGCTTTTTTATTGCTGAAAAACATGGCACGATCATACTTTGTCACAGAGTCAACCCCTCATTTTCCATTATCAAGTGCCATATGCTCATGCATTTTGATTTCTCTCCAGAAGCCTCAGTAAGCAGCTGCTTTGTGATCGCTCAGTTTGGAGTTTTCAGTGTGGAGTGTCTTGTTCTCGCTGCCGTAGTGCTGCGGCTTTTACATCAGCAGATCTTTCATTTCCTCTCCCCAGCCTCTGCAGAAAAGGACACAATCAAGAACACGTACTCCAAAGTCATGGATGCATACGGGCTCTTGGGCGTGCTAAGGTTAAACCTCGGTGAGTCAAAGATGTGAAACTTGTGTTTTTCATTTGTGGCACAACCCTGTGCTGCTCCTGTGCGACTGCATCTTTGCAACAGAAACTGGGCTTATTTTTTTCTGTTGGTTTGGTTTGATTTTCTTCTTTGCAGACTAACTTACAAATTTGGAGCGCTCCCAGAAATGAGGGAGTGGACAAAAATAGCTTCTGTTTTTGCAATCCCTGCTGTTTGCGGAGTAGTTTCTCCTTGGCATTGGCTCTCTGTACGTTTTCAGGCACGCTGGGGTGGGTTTGTGAGCCCTTGGTACAGGAATGGATCAGCACCTGCTCTGCTGAGATGCATTCTCTGCCTGTGCTGCAGGGGACACGCTGCTGCACTACCTGGTGCTGGTGACGGGGTGCATGTCCGTGGGCAAGATCCAGGACTCGGAGGTGTTCCGGGTGACGTGCACCGAGTTCGTGTCGCTGCGCGCGGACCCCGCGGACGAGGACCGCGTCTCCGAGGTGCGCAAGGTGCTCAACTCGGGCAGCTTCTACTTCGCCTGGTCTGCCACGGGGGTCAGCCTGGACCTGAGCCTCAGCGCCCACCGCAGCATGCAGGAGCACACCACTGACAACAGGTTCTTCTGGTGAGTGCAAAGTGCTCCGGCAGCGTTACACCATGAGTTCCTTTGCACAGTAATGCCTGGCAAGTGTTTGTCCCTGTCCTTCCCAGCTCTTACCTGTGCACCTTTCTCCCACAAACCTTGACATTGACTAGCATTACTCCAGCTCTGAGGGCAGAAGTGTATTACTAATGACAGGCTGTTTCTGTGACCACTTGGAAGCTTCTTAATTGGAAGGCACAGATTTTTCACTGCTTATGTTGTGTTTTCATCTGAACATTGCCTGTGATGTTGTGTTTCAGTTTTGGTGCCTCCTAATTCTTCAGCAGTTGTGTCAGTTTTTTAAATGGGTGTGGTTATGAAACTTCAAAGGAAAAAAATTACTGTTTTTTAGAACGTTCTGAATTCTAAAATTATGTGTTGTTTATAGATAGATTCCAAGGGGGTTTCCAACATATGAAAGCACTTCAAAAGTTTTGTTACTCAAAAAATTGTGATATTGCGGGTTTTGTTGAGACAGCTGGTGGTCTCTGCCGCAGAGGGCACTTTGCTTGGCTGCTGCTTTCAGTATAATTTTACTGCATTTTTTTTAATAAAGTATTGTTTTCTCACAGAGAGTTTTTGGTGAGAGGAATACTGCTCTTTCTGTCGATCAGCAGCTTAAATAATGCCAGTAATGCACCCTGACATGTCAGAAATTCTCTTCCCCTCAGCTTTTGCTAAAAATGCTCTGTGTGTCCAGGTGTCTTGGTAGGGTGCTGAAGATTTGGCTTTACACCGTTAGAACAGGTGAAAAGCTACATCCATTCCCCTCTGCTGGCCAAAATACACCCAACCAGCTCCAGCATAGGAGCCAGTGCTTCTCTGGTCTCAGTCAGGTAGAGGAATCTGGTCAGAGTGAAATACAAGAAAAAATTGTTAAGGAAGGAAATAAGCTCAGGTTTTCAGAAACATTATTCCTTGATGTAGGGTTAGAGGGCTTGTAGAGACCTTGCTGTGTGTCCATGCGTCTGGAAAAAGACTTGGCTCTCCATGGATCAGTCAGGGCTTCAGAGAAACAGTGCCTGGTAACCCTGTCAAAGTGAGCTGGGCTGGTTCTGACCCTTGCTGTAGAACTCTGGCAGTGACCCTGTTCTGTGGGTTTTTAGCAAGGACCAGTCCTGCCAGGAGGTGGCTGGAATGTCCAGATTCCTAGGTCTAGAAATGCAACCACTGAAAGCCAAGAACAGGAAGTATTCTTGCATATGCACTGAAAGTCAAGAACAGGAAGCCTTCTGCATATGCACCTCAGTGAGCTTCCTGGGGGTTTTCCTGCTCAGAGTGCCCAGGGAAAGACTTTTTGCTGTGTGTCCTATTATAATGCACCTGTATACTCAGGTTTAGGATGAAAAGGCTAAAATTTAAGAGCTAGAGATTTACAATGCGTTAGAGAGTTATAATGAACATGCTGTTTGCAATTCCATTGGACTTTTCTGGGCAGAGGCACAACCAGGCATCTTCCTGGAATTGGCTTTTCTTTGCTGTGCTGAAAACTTTGCTCCCTTTTTATACTAGTGAATGTTTCCAAAGAGGATCAAAAGCCAAGCCTCACTAGAGTGAGGCAAACAGAAAATCTCACAAAACCCAAACTTTAGTCTTTCTTGCGTAATGCAGCATTGCTTAGTGCTGGTAAGTGTGCAGGTACATTCAAACTGTGGATCTTCCTTTCATGTGAGCAGTGACTGCTGTCAGAGAGTCATGTGTGGAGTACGGGCAGTACCAGCACCCAGCCCTGAAATTGGTGTTTAAAAACGAAGAGGGCCAGTTGGCTGGGAATGTGTTTCTGGGAGCCTTTCTCGTGACCAGGTTAGGCTTAGGTGGCACGTAATGATGACATATAATGGAGTATTCAATATCTGTTCTATTGTAGCTTTATTTTGTGGTGGTGTGAGGTTGTGTGGGGCTTTACACACTACAAAACAAGTAGCCCTGTCACTGGAATCCTGTCATGCTTTCCTGGAGTCTGTAATCTTTGGCTTCTCCAAACAAGGCTGAGCAGAGCAGTATAAACAACTTAGAGTGTTGGGTTTTTTTTGGGGGGTGACAAACAAGGGCTATGAAGGTTATTATTTTAGGGTCATGGAAATTGATAGGTTCACCCCGTTTTCTTATTGTGCTATTTGCAATTTCAGGAAGATTTAATGAGAGTTATATCACAAAACTGCAGCATGCCTGTTGTCCTGGTCCCATTGGTGTTAGTGGGTGTGAAATGGAAGGAGTTAGCTTAAGAGTTGGAGCTGAGTTGCAATTCCCTCTGGTTGTTTGGCTGTGTTCCCCTGCAGGAACCAGTCCCTGCACTTGCACCTGAAGCACTACGGGGTGAGCTGTGACGAGTGGCTGCTGCGGCTCATGTGTGGGGGCGTGGAGATCAGGACCATCTACGCCGCTCACAAGCAGGCCAAGGCCTGTCTCATCTCCCGGCTGAGCTGCGAGCGGGCGGGCACCCGCTTCAACGTGCGCGGCACCAACGACGACGGGCACGTGGCCAACTTCGTGGAGACAGAGCAGGTACGGCGTGCCCCAGTGCCCGCAGCCGGGCTGGCAAGGCAGTGGAAGCCCTCAGTCATTGCAATGGTGAGATGCTTGCTCTAAATCAATGTATCACAGGTCAAGTCTGGCATCAGCAGGTATTGGAATGGTTTCTTTGATGCTAAATGAGGAAGCTAAGCAGGTTATGTAATTTGATGATCTTGGTTTTTAGTGTGGCTTATGGCAGGGCATGCCTGGGGCTGAGTTGCAGCAGCTTAAGAAGGTGCTGAACTCCTGTGGGTGGCTGTGCTTCCCCTGAGCCCCTGGAGCTGCGTGTGCCCCTTCTGGCCTGAGCTAATCTGAAGCAAGAGAAACAGGCAAAAGGGATTTTGGGCAAATACCAAAACACTGGAACCTTGTGGCTCAGGAAAGATAAAAGCATTGCACTTAGCTCAGCTCCTCTGGAAGGCAGCCTGTAGAGCCACTGTCCTTCTGCTGCCTTGGATTGTCATGGCTCTGCCCTCATCACACAGAAATGTGAGACCCTGCTAAATCCTTTGTGCTGGCTTGCCTTGGTAGCCTGTTCCTGCAGGGCTTGTTCCTGTGCTCGTGCTTCCAGGTTTCTTTGGCTGACTGACTCCTTCCAGAGCCCAGTGACTGAGAGAGGATTCCGTGCAGGAAGGGCTCTGCTTGTGCACCTCCAGTGCCAGTTGTTCAGTCAGAACACCCTTGTTACACTTGCTGTGCCCAAGTTTCCTGGTGTGCCAGTGTTGCTGAATGGCTGTGCTGTGTTATTCCACTGCAGTTTTCCTTTCCTGTGTTATTCCACTGCAGTTTTCCTTTCCCAGGTACTTCATGGACTGTGATGTGTTGGTTTCTGATGCAGAAAATCTGTGCCAGGGCTCTGAGTGGGCTGCACCGTGATTCTCTGTGCATTGGTGTTCGTTTTAACTGTTCCTGCAGGAAGGTCTTACCGAGTTGTTTCAAACATCCTATTCCTAGTGCAGAACTTACTCAAGGCCAAATAATAAAAGCTGTGTTTCTGTACATGTTGTGAATTTGGATTCTGCAGGGGAGCATGAGAGTGATGGAATTTGTTGTAGGAATTGTTCAGAGTCTTGGAAACAGTGTTTTAGTTTGTGGTGTGGAATGTGTGATGCATAAATATATTGCATTTGCTCCGTGTTTAGGTAAAGCTAAGATTTCGAGAATCTTACACTGTGATAATTATTAATACTGTGCTTTACTTTCCTTACCAGGTGATCTATTTGGATGAGTCTGTGTCGTCTTTCATACAGATTCGAGGATCTGTTCCATTATTTTGGGAGCAGCCAGGACTGCAGGTGAGCAGGAGATAGATTCAGTGATACAGATAATTGTTATTCATGTCCTTTTAAACATCATCCAGTAGCCTTTGGGCTCTGCTTCCCAGCTGCCTAGGAGGATGAGGTGGTCCTTGAGAGCATGTGGGTGCTATCGTGTCTCACCAAACCTGCTTCTCTCAAGTCCAAAAGTTTATTTTGTCCATTCTTTGTTCCATGTCTCCTCTTGGAAGTTCTTTTTCCTCTTTAAATGGGTTATCCAAGGACATTCAAAGAGGCTGTTTTCTTCTGAATTGCTCTTGAGGAGAAGTCTTCTCAAGAAGTCAATAAGGATCAAGAGTTATTGGAATACAATTTCATCACAATTTTCTGGAAAGAGGGACTGATTCAGCTCCTACTGCTGTGGCATATTTCTCACAGGAAAGGTTAAAATAGTTTGTGCCTTGCAGGGACTCTGGGTTCTTTAGACATAGCAGCATTTCTCTCCAAATAAGACAATTGAATGTGCTCTTGGTGTTGTAGGTGGGATCCCACCGTGTCAGGATGTCAAGGGGCTTTGAGGCGAATGCACCAGCTTTTGACAGGTAAAATCATCTCAAGGTTTTGCTAATGCACTAAAAACCTCTGATAAGTTCTATCCCATCACACAAATGGGATATGTTATTCCAAAGGGGAGGCTTTGTCTGTACAAATGTGGAATTGAGCAAAGCTGAGAACTTGGTGGGGATTGCTTGTGCCTTTCAATGCTTTGTTGACAAGTGTGAATAAAATTTGTTTGATACTTTCCAACTTCTCAGTGTTGCAGGTGTTGCTGTTAATTTTTTGTGTGCCAGAAAATGACTGTGGAATTTTTCTTCTGTTAACAGGCATTTCCAAACACTTAAAAATTTATATGGCAAGCAAATTATTGTAAATTTACTGGGGGCAAAGGAAGGGGAGCACATGCTCAGCAAAGCCTTCCAGGTGAGTATGGCAGTTCTTTCCCTGTGCATATCCTTGGGATTTGCTCGTTTGCAATGAAGCTCTTACAGAGCCCCTGGGGGAGTAAGTGGCAAACCTGACTTAGGGACAAACCTGACTTTGTGACAAGGGAAACAAAATGCACATGTGAAATATTAATCAGTTCTGAGTGATTAATTTCAATGGTGATAAAAGTGGTTTCATTTTACCTAAAAGAAAGCTAATAAAAGCACTTTTAAAATATTAGTAATCTCTTGTTTAGCTCCTACTTCTGTGTGTTCAGGTACTGGTATATTGATACTTTTTTTTTCTGTTTCCAATGCCAGAGCCATTTGAAAGCATCTGAACATTCAGCTGATATCAAAATGGTGAACTTTGACTATCACCAGATGGTTAAAGGTGGAAAGGCAGAGAAACTACACAGCGTGCTTAAACCTCAAGTCCAGAAATTCTTGGAGTGTGGATTTTTCTATTTTGATGGGAAGGAAGTGAAAAGGTTTGTGTGTACAGCTTTCCTCAGATTAAAATGTGGTGCTGGGATGTGTTTCACCCCTCAGCAGGAAGATAAGAGAAAGCATGTTGCCTCTGTTGTTGTGGTTTTAGTGTATCTGGGTGATCCTTAACAGCTGAAGTATGAGTCACCATTTTACTCTGGTGAGATCTTGTCTCATTCTGTGTGTGCTCTAAAAATCTCTAAAGATGATCTCTGTGAGACATTCAAGGGGCAGGAATTAATTTCAGGCCTTTCACCTCAGGATTTTGTGAAAGGGTCAATGATCCCTTTTGTAGCAGGCAGCCACATGGAATTAATGTGTGTTTTTCCTTCTTGCTGTGTAACAGGCTGAGCACTTCCCTTGGTGATGGACCCACAGTGCCATTTTTGTGTGGTGTAAATGTTTGTGTTCAGGACTGTGGTTTGGCTGTGCCTGGATCCCCCATTTGGGAGATTCCATTCTCTCAAGCAGGATTGAGATGCACATTTCCTGCTCTGCTCTGTCCTTATTCCTGATTCCTGGAGCAATGGCTGTTCTCATCTCAGCAGGAAAAGAGGAGCAGGGATTGAATAGGCAACACTCCTTCTCTGCTCCCTTCCACACCCTTAGTCCTTTTAACTAATGCAGGGCAGGGTGCTGAGTGAGGCTCTCCCTGAATGATGAGGGGATGAGCTCCAAAAAGCTTTAAAAGTGGCATTTTTGTTTTAATTGGGGGATTCAACTAATGCTGTCACAAATGAAAATTCAACAGATGGAAAGCAAAAAAGAGTTGTGGCTTGTGACAGCTCAAGGAGTTGTGTTAATAGAAGGTGGTTATGCTTGTGAGTTCATAAACTGTCTCCCTTGGGAAATGTCAGGCTTTTTGCTTTGTATTTCAAATCAAATGCAGAGACACTAATGCTAAAAAGGAAAAAATCTTGAAGCAAGTTGTTCTTGCAGTTTTTGGTTAGGTCTCTAAAGGTGCTGAAACCACCCTGCCTTTGGTGGGCAGTGTGCAGTGGGAATGCCACCAGTGAGGGATAACGTGTGTCCTTGGGAGAGCCATCAGTGTTTGTACTCTGAGCTGAGCAAGCAGCCCATGGTTGCTGGTGAACATGATCCTGTTGAGAGCTTCTGTCAGGAGTTCCTGGGCTTTTCCCAAAGGCAGTGCAGCAGTCCTGAGTGCTTACAGGCCTCAAACATCCCTTGGGCTAAAGGGGAGAGGCTTGTTTTTCATCTTTATCAGCAAGTACTGAGGCACTGGAGTTGGCTTTAGTTAGATCATAAATTCCTGTTACTTTTAGTTAAAGAAAATTCAAGAACTGACTCAGTAGGTTTCTTTTTTTGTTTTTTTTTTTTCATTTTTGCTGAAACTGCGAGTAATTTCTCTCTGAGGTTCTTTGGAAGTGTGTTAGTTTAAGTGCTTGAAAAGAAACCTTAATCTCGCGTGGCACTTAACCGAGCAAGGAGGACTGGGAGCAGGGGGAGCAGAAGGACTGATGTGTTTTGCAGAAACAGCCTGAGCTGTGCTCAGTGAGCACGGGAAGCTCACCCTGTGTTGCTGCCACGTTTATGGTGTCCTTGTGTGGCGCTGACAGTGCCCTGGCGTGCTGCTCTGTGCCTGCCTGTGCTGAGGAGCTGTGTGCTGGGTGAGTGATGTCAGTGTTTCCCTGTCCCGTTGTCCTTGGCGCAGGTCCCAGAGCGGCACCGTCAGGACCAACTGCCTGGACTGCCTGGACAGGACCAACAGCGTGCAGGCCTTCCTGGGCCTGGAGGTAGGAACTGCATCCAGCCGGGCTCTGGGGCTCTGGGAGAGCAGCCTCACCTTCCGTGGGAAGGGCAATGGGCTTTTCACAGCTGCATCCTACAGTGGGACCTGCTCCTTGGCCTGACTGCCAGAGACAAGGCCTTCAGCGTGTTTGGAAATGCAAATACATGCATGCTGCAAGGTCAAGCCATTATCCTTATGTTTTCTGAGTTTTATTGAGTTAAAATTCCCCTCTTAAGAGGAATTTCTGTGACAACTTACAGGTGTTGGTTTTGGAACAGACCTATCTGATTGTGGACTGTGCAGTGCTTGGCTGCTGCATTTACCCAGTTTGCTGTGGCAGAAGACTCTTCTTACATTTTTGATGTGTAGAGTACTTACATGTCAAACATAGCTGTCTAGCTCTGTTTTTTCCTGTCATATCCTTTTAAGAACTGCATAAATACAACTTTTTTTTTTTTAACCAGGTGTGCCAAGTTTTTCAGCAATGAGAATTATTATTTCAGCTAAAGTATGAGAGCTAAAAGTATACAACTAATTAATAAGGGAAATGGCTAATCCTGAGGAACTGCTTACTTAAATTTAAAATGGTATTAAATGAGATATATGAATTCTTACTTGAAGACAGTAGTACTTAAAGTAACAGGTACTGAACTCTAGATGACCCCCTAAAATTATGAGAGCAAGCACGCAATTTCTAAAACTTCTTGTCTATTTCTTCTTAATTTTGTTTTGCAAGTTTCCTTTTTTATCTTTTGTTAATTGCTGCCCAGCCTTCAGAATTGTGCCTTTGCCATTCTGTGTCTGTTATTTGAGGCTCCTTCTGTCAGACACCCTAAGGTTTTAAAGATTTGTAAAAGCTCTTGAAAATGGCTTTTGTGTTTAGTTTGGTGAACTTCAATGTGAAAACATTTACAAATCAGCTATGTAATTTTTTTCCTGTATTACTGCCTATCTTCAAAGGAAGATGCAGTGTTGGTGCTGAATTACATGTGTGATGCAGCCTTTCAAGCATGTTGTGCTGGTAGTTTGCTCAGAATGAGACCTATAAACCCACAGGATTTGTGGGGGTTTATGTATATCTTCTGAAAAACACAACATGCCTTATAAGAAATGTATTTGAAGTGGGGTTATTTTTTGTTTTGGTTTGGTTTGCTGGGTTCTTTGCTAATGCTGTGTTCCCCTGTTACAGATGCTAACCAAGCAGCTGGAGGTGCTGGGGCTGGCTGAGAAGCCTCAGTTAGTGACTCGCTTCCAGGAGGTTTTCCGATCCATGTGGTCTGTCAATGGGGATTCTGTCAGTAAGATCTATGCTGGAACTGGAGCCCTTGAAGGAAAAGCAAAGGTAAAGTACACCTTCTCAAATGCTTCACCAGTGTTCAGTATGGGTTTGAATGAATTCTGCCATCAGTTTAGCAGTGATGAGATTTTATCTTCAAAAAGCTGCTCTTTGTAATCCTAAAACAATCCCAAACAAAACCCAACCAACCAGAAAAATTAATTTGAATGGTTGGTTCTGTTGCTAACCAGGTCATGTTCCTGTACATCCCTTCCTAGCCATGTTCCTGCCTCCCGCGTAACACTGTTCTGTTGGATAATTCTGAAATCTTCCATTTCTTTAGAAGATAGCTCAGGAAAATGTATGTTCGAATCAGCTTTTGTTTCTTTGAATACTTTTACTTTTCTCTCTGTACCTCTCCTGCTATTATTTCGGTTCCATTCACTGTATCTCCTTGTCAAGTGCGTTTGATGGGATGTTGTTTGTGTTTTTCATGTTTAATACTGTTAATACTAATCCAGTTGTAGCCTGGTGGGTTTTGTTTGTGTGTTTGTCCAGCTTTTTCTTCTTAGTTTTGCAGTCACTGAAAAACCCCAGGTTTTGTTTCCACCCTGCTTTTTAAGGCTGTTAGAACAGTTCCATGCTCCATGACAGTGTTGTGTTTCTCTTCAGCTTGTTTTGTCTGGGTTGATACCTGACTTGTTCCCGTTTTCTAATGCTGCCTTTTGTTGTTTTCCTCCCAATGTTGCTTCTTTGTTTCCCTAATCCTGTCCTTTGCCAGACACCTGTCATGACAAATGTTGGCCTGTAGCAATTTTTGCCCTTAGTTCCTTCAAGAATGTCTTTTCACCCTGTTCTTTGTGCTCAGGAATGTGCTGCTCCTCATTCCATGTCACAGCCCATGTGCCCACAGCCAGCTGTTCTGGGTTTTCCATCATTTGTTCAGTCACTATGTGCCAGGGTCCTTCTCTGCTCATGTAGGAGGTGTCACCACAAAATACATAAAAACAAAGTTACCAAATCAACTTGTTGCTTGTTCTGCCCCTTGACTGGTGCACACCAGACTTCTTCATTTGGGAATTGCTTCTATTTTACTGTTGAATGGAATTTGGTTCAAGATGTTTAGTTTTATTTTCTTACGAAAATGTCACCTAGACTGCCAGGCAAAGTGCAGTAAGTATTTTATGGAGTGTCTCCCCTTGTCTTGGCTTTGCCATTCAACCTTCATTCCTTTTCCTAAATTAATAAATATACATTTAATCTAGTTCATTTGGCTATATAGATTTTTTTTTTTTACTTTAAAAGATGCATTTAATATATTTCCATTTTTAATGTTCAAAACACAGAGTAGATGGTCCTGGTTTCAGGTGGTTAAACCACCACAGTACATTTACTCTGCTGTCTTTGGAATAATTCTGAATCCCTGGCCTGGAACAACTCTTAATTAGTACTGCATCTCATAAATCCAATCCCACATCTCTGACATGAGTCCAGTCTATTCAAAGAGGATCCTTAATGCTTGCAAAACCATACAATACTTGCTCTTGTTTCAATTAAACCTGACTCATTATGTTTTGAGTACTTTGAGTGTATATTTTAAAATGTAGTTTTTAAGTTGCATTCTCATTTCTCAAATGACAAGTTTGATGCCTAAAATTGTTCCATTTCCTACTTGTCAGTTTGATTCTTCAAAGCCCAAGAATACTTAGAAGTAAAAATACAGAAATTTCACATGAGAGAAAATTATTTTAACCTTAAGTGTGTTAATATATCTTTCTATACTGCAAACCAGTTCTTCTAAAAGCATTGTAATACTTGTTCCATCTAACTCCTTACCTGCTCTTTCCTTTGCTTTCTCGGGGTTCCTTTCAATTAATTGCCTGGTATGTGGATGGTGAGTGTGGATTTTTGGATCACCACTTGTACGTTGTGTGCCAGGGAGGGGAGTGCATCCTACCAGAATTGTGTTGCAATGAGTGCTCGCCACACCCATGCCCACTGTCTGCCAGGGAGGGAGTGCATCCTATCCCAATCCTGTTGCACAGAGTGCTCCCCACAGCACATGGCCATTGTCTGCCCAAGCCACTTAGCCTTGCCAAAAGAGCAGCTTCTGTCTTGCTGCCTAGTTCAGAACTAAATCCTAGGGCAGTTTTGTTAAGCTTTTGCCTTCTTTCCACATGCATTTAAGAGACTCATGGACAGTGCAAGCTGTGAACTTGGGAGTACTTTCTATAGTAACACAATCCTTGCAGCATCCCTGATGGGGCCCATGCAGTGCCAGGTGTTTGTGTGTGCCCAGTCAGCACTGCCAGGTTTGGGATTGAGCACCAGACTGCGTTCTCTGTTAGTTACATTATCCTTTAGGTGTGTGTGACCCCAGGTACATCTGCCTCAGCAGCACATTTCCCTGCAGACCCTTGTTCAGCCCAGGTGTAGGACGCTGCTTCTCTGGGCTGCAGCTCAGTCAGGCCACAGTGAGCAGAACCCGTGTCTGGATGTGTCTGTGGCCACGCGTCAGTGCCTGTGCTCCTTCTGGGATGCTGCATGACACTTGCATGTCATTGCAACAAGTTAAGGGCGGTCTTAAGTCGAAGCTCTCTCTGGTTTTAACATGGGTATTCCAGAATGTGGATTCTGAACTCCTGAGTGCATAAACAATTACATTCACGTGTCATGGCATTTGGATCCGAGTGCTTGCTCATTTCTCACTGTTTGGGGAAAAGCCCAAAATCCCTGTCATGGTCTAAACATGGCACTGTAGCAAATTAATTTTTAAAGAGCTAGGGTTTAGGGAAAAAAAAAAATCCCCTCCCTGCAGTATTTTGTTTAATTTTATTTCGTTTAATTTCAATCTGCTTGTTAGATACGCCTTGTAGGTATTACTGTGCTTTTTAGCATCTGGGCTGGGGGTGGGGGGAATCACATGTAGCCCAGTAGGCTCAGACAACTTGATTTTACACTTAAAGAAGATAATTGCCTTAGCCCTTAAGATCATTAACACAGTTTGCATATATTACTGAATATTGCCAATGTATTGTGAGCAGTGTCCGACATAAAATATTCTATACGTGTTCCTCCCCAACAGGCTGGGAAGCTGAAGGATGGTGCTCGTTCTGTGACCAGAACGATCCAAAATAACTTTTTTGATAGCTCCAAGCAGGAGGCCATTGATGTTTTGTTGTTGGGAAATACCCTAAATAGTGATTTAGCAGATAAAGCACGGGCTCTGTTAACCACCAGCAGTTTACGCGGTATGTGTCTTTCAGGATTTTCATCTCTCATAACTATTGCTGTAAGAAAGCTGTATCGAGTTTGTTTTCAAAGCACTGTTGGAAAGTATAAATGCTATTTCATGTTCTCTTGGCTTATTAAAATATGGAAGTTACTTCTGCTTTACTAATAGTGCCGAACTAACGTGCTGCAGAAATTGCTTTACCTGTTTGTGGTTTTTGGGTCAAGTTCTGCATCAAAACCAGACAGTTTTCGATGAGGAACTCTGCGTGTGCAGGGCAGCCACGTGAGGGTTGGGGGTTTTGTACCAGGAAGGGGGTTCCCCTCATGAGCACAGGGTGTCAGTGCATCCCCAAAGAGGTGTAGCCTCTGTGGCCCCAGAACTGCAGTCAGTCCCATTCTCTGCAAGTCTGGTGGCCAAGAAAATAGTGGGTCAGTCACAGGGTTGTGTCCAGCCCTCTCCTGGGACATCAAAGCTACAGGAACTCATATTTGGGCAGAGAAGGAACTGAAATTTGAATCTTCTTTCCAAGATCCCAGGTAATAATATTCTGGATAGCGGCAATTTTTAGGGAAACGTTCCTAAATTTTCCTTTTAGTTTTTTTTTTTTTCCTTCTCCCAGACACATCTTAGAATGAGGAAGAATATGTCAAAGCTCCAGTGCAAATTTCTGGCTCAAGAGGGAAATAGTTGCCCAGCTGTAGCCTCATGTTGAGGGTCCCCATCTTCATCCAATGTTCAGGCTGAGGGAGTGGTTTAGTCCCATTTCTTTAGCACAAGGTTTCAGGTTATTGTGGTTTTTTCCTTATATCTGAAACCTGGTGAATTGGCCTCACCTCAAAATGAGTTATAATTTGTTGTCATTTCCTGTCCCTTTATCTGGGAATGCAAGCTGTCCTTTCTGTGTTTGCAGCTCCTGAGGGCTGAGGAGCATTAATCCCTCTGGCCTGAGATCTCCCTGCATTCTGTGCTAGGTTAACCAGTGGGGTACCCCAACATGTGTGAATCCGTTGTCAGTGAGGGAGAAGAGGATTTGCTAACCCTGGTGTGAAACTGAGTAGATTTTGCAGCACAAAGCATATGCCTTAACTGATGCCAATGGTTATGTGTAATAAATTGTGTATTAACAGCATGTTTTCTCACACATTGCTGGAAAATCCTAAAAAGCAATAACTTATTTGACTAATCTTTTCTTGTTTCCCTCTTACTGCATCCGTAGTTTCAGAGCAATCATTGCAATCAGGTATAGTATAGCACAGTAAAGTAAGCTGTAAATCCCTGAGCAGCTGCTGCTGTCCTCTGGCTTCTCTTGTGTCTGTGTGATATTGGGCTGTGGGCTCACATTTTCCTGGTGGTGTTTGGATCTGGCATTCCTGTGCCCTAACATCCTTTAGTCCAATAAAAGTGAGAGTGTAAGAGGTGAAAATGTTGCATTTGAGCTTGGGTGTGAGTTAGGAAATGAGGCAGCCGATTTGCAGGGGTTTATTTTTTGCACGTGCCCCAGCTGCACAGGAATTTTCCTCTTTATCTGATTTGGAGGCTTCTGTATTTCTGCTTTGTTTAGTATAAGAGGTGAAATTCTCCAGTACAATGTGTAATTTCATCTTACTTGCTGCTAGAAGGTTCCACTTGCTTGTGTTCATGCAGGACACTTGTCAGCTGTGCAGCACTTCCTGTTCTTGTTCCCAGAAACCATTATTTCAACTAAAATATTCCTAATGCTCTAAAATCTATGCAGAATTTACTGGGTATTGAGCAAATTTAAATGGCCTTTTCACTGGCCAGTTTTGCTTTTCCTGTATGTGTTTTACCCCACCTGCTTAACTCTCAGTGAGTATGTAAAGAATGAAATGTGAGTCACAGGCAATGTCTGATGTTAAGTGATTCACTGGCATCTTGTCAGTGTAACCAATGCTCATTGGAATGACTGCTCACACTCACTGATGCTATTGCCTTCTATCTTAGAGCTCTGGAAGAAAAGCCAGCTATTTTTTAATATATTTATCAGTTACTGTTGGTATTATTTGTGTCTAATTTTTGTTATTTATTAGAATTAGATTTTTTTGGTAAGAGTTATAAATCAACTATTTTTTAGCATTTCAGGGTTTCAGCTGGATACAAATTGCATGTGTTGAAATATTCCTACAGGAGTTTGGATGTTTCAGTGAAACAGTTCCATCAAGTTCCAACAGTTCCATTCAGTTGCACAGGATATTCCCAACAATTTTAAATTACACTCCCTTTGTAAAACTGATTTCCAAATTTCTGCTTGTCTAGCAAGAGCAGCAGTCAAAGTATTTTTTCTGCAAATAACAGAAACTGTAACTGATTGGATTTCTGATGTTGTAGAGTGAGGCACAATTTTGCTGAAAGGATCAATAACCAGAAATATGTAGGAAAATCATGGTCTCAGGTGCTCTGAAAAGCACGTGATTCACTCAGTATTTTGGAAAGTAGAAATTTTTATTTTTAATTACTCAAATTTATAAAAAAAGTCATTCTACAATTTAGGAAGGTTGCTAGTTTGAAGAAATAAATTTTTTGTTTGTGATAAGCTTGTTGCCAGTTCACTTTTCAAGTTAGAGTCTAACCTGGTAAGGCTTTTCACATTAGGGTCTCATGACAACATCAGGGGTAAAATAGGCAATAATGAAATTTTGCAGCTTTTCTTAAAAGCTGCTCAGTAGCAACTGAATGATTTGGAGTGACTAAAGTGAGGCGGAGACCCAGTAAATGTTCAGCATAGAAAGATGGAACCCCAGGGGAGCAATTGCAGACTGTGCTGTTTTAGTGGCTCAGAGAGCTGCAGAGGCTCCTCTCTGCAGGGCTGCACGGCTGCTCTGGGTTCCTGGGGTTCCTGCTGTGCTTCCAGCCAGCCCTTGGGATGAGTTGGGGTTTGGATGTGCTGTGGCTACAGCATTGCTGGGATTGTTTCCCTTCAGGGGCCGGGTGCTGAGGTGGCTCCTGTCCTCCACCCTCTGTGGCCTTTTGGGCAGGTGTTGTCCAATTCCTGGCTGGAGTTGCCTGCAGTGTGGGGCAGGAGCAGAGCCCGTGTCTGGGGTCTCAGACCCTCGTGCCTGGAGGGCTCAATGATCCTGTTGGCTCACTGCTGTTTCCTAGACTTCTTTTCCCTGGGTTTTGATGAAAGCATGATCCTGAGCATGATCAGCTTGGAGCAGCAGGGAGACACCAACCAGTCCTTTTTGTTTTCTGTGTGTTTGGCCTAGTTATGGGTATGTCATTTGTTCAGCAGGGAAAGCATTCCCAGCCAACAAACACAATAGATTTCCTTCTCTTGCTCCCAGTTTTTTTCAAACCCAGTAGGGATAGAGAATACCTGATTTTTGTTCTGACCAGGTAGCCAAGAGTGACTGAAAAGACAGCAGCAGCTCACTAATCATCTTATTTGGGGAATTTAAATGGAAATGCTGTTCCCAGTAACTATTTTTCAAGACAGCATCAAGTGAAGGGAAGAATTCCCTCTAATATTGTTTAATTTGTTCTTTTGGAGTCAGATAACTTGAGAATATTCAAAATAGGTAAAATATTACAACTGAGGTAAAGTACCTGAGCATTGAGTCAGCTTTTTCCTTTCTGTGTTTCTCACAATGTCCTTCACATATGGGTCATTCCTCTCTCTTCATTTGGCCGATAAAAAGACGGCACAGGGAAGGGCTGATGGGACAGAGAAATGAGCTTAATTAGTTTGAATCCTAGCCTACTGTCCTCACTAAAGCAGCTCTTCAGGAATTCAACTGATCTAAAAAGAATTCAGATTTGTGGCTTAAATAGACATACTCTAATATGATGAAATAATGTACCTTCTCTATTTTAGTACTTGTAGTGTATCAGCAACTTTTACCCTGCTGGGAATTAATATACGTGCATGTTGGTTCTGTAACAGAGATTGGATTTCGTGAATTTAATCTGTGGAAATGAGCCAGATATGTACAGAAAATGATGGCTTCCCTAGAAAGTCATGGATGAGATGAAAGACCAGCAGATATTTATAAAACATGGGGATTGTTTCCTCGTGTATCATTTGTCTCTATGTAATTCTGAGCCAATTGCTGCTGTTTTCCGGTCAGCAGTGTGTGTCCCTGAGGGTACTCTCCCCTGGGCCAGCTGCATTCCCTGTGCTTTCGCACTTTAGCTTTGTCTGTGCACGTGCATTGGGCAGATCTCTGTGCCAGCTTTCTGGAACGTTCTCTATAAAACGAGTGCCTTTTCCAATGTTCTTGCAGCATCTGTGAAAGTGCTGAAGAGCATGTGTGAGAACTTCTACAAGTATGCCAAACCCAAGAAGATCCGGGTGTGCGTGGGGACGTGGAACGTCAACGGGGGGAAGCAGTTCCGCAGCATTGCCTTCAGAAATCAAACCCTCACTGACTGGCTGCTGGATGCGCCCAAGCTGGCTGGGATCCATGAATTCCAAGGTAGCATCTGTGTTCTGCCATTACTTTTACTGGAAAGATCTGATTTTTGTACAGAGATCACAAACACAGAAACGGCTATCACAGAACTGTAGAACTGTGTAGGGAGGGACGGTAAAGATGCAGCTCCACCCCCTGCCAGAGAAACACCTTGCAAAATCTGCATTTATTTATAAGCTTCTTTGAGACAACTGGAATTTTACGGAATCCCACGCTGGTTTGTGTTGGAAGGGACCTTAAAATTCACCCAGTGCCACCTGTGCCATGGGCAGGGACACATTCCGCTGTCCCAGGCTGCTCCAAACCCCATGCAGCTTGGCCTTGGGCACTGCCAGGGATCCAGGGGCAGCCACAGCTGCTCTGGACACCCTGTGCCAGGGCCTGCCCACCCTCACAGGGAGGAATTTCTTTCCAAGGAAGGATTATTTTTCCTTAAAATGAATATATGTATGAGTATATCTAGATCGATGAGGTCTTGATTGTTGAGTTAATTAGAAACAAGAAATAACTCTTTCCTTATTTACCCCAAGATCGCAAAAACAAACCTGTGGACATATTTGCCATTGGATTTGAAGAAATGGTGGAGTTAAATGCAGGAAACATTGTGAATGCCAGGTAGGTGATCCAATCCACACACTACTTGTTTTGCTGATAATCACATTTTTCTAGTGATATGTTATTTGAAATTGTGGTTTCTGCAGTGCTTGCAGTGCTCTTCAGTTGCTGTGTCTGGTATTGCTGTTAACAGCAAATCCTGTGAACATCTTTCCCGAAGCATGTGTTGTTGGAGTGCTGTTATGTACCAGGTTGTGATCTGTACAGAGGAAGGTTTCCTTCCATACTGTTAGTTTGCACTGCCATTCCATGTATTGCATGGATGCATTCCTGTGGAGTTGGCATTTTTCACTCCTAGCAGACTAGGGTCATGTAAATACATTTTTCCCAGTGGTGGCTGTTACCAGAGATATCCAGTGTGTGTAGTCCTGGGACCATATTCCCTGTGTCCATTGTTTTCTCTGCCCGCTTTGCGTGTTTCCTGGTGTTAGGGAAGGTTTAACTCATTGGGTAGAGCACATACAGCCGATGATGCTGTAGCCTTTGTGCAGAGCTTTGTCTGTTGGGCACCAGATGTCAGCTTGTAACCCCTCATTTCACCCTTTGTGTAGTTAATGCTCTTTGCAGGCGTGATGTTTTTCATATTTTCATGTTTTTCTTGATCTAAGACTGTGCCACCTGTTTTCCAGTATTGACTGAGCTCTAGGCTAGGAGGGACTCTCTAAAACAATCCTTAGGTTTTCCCCCTGTAGTCTCGGTGTGTAAATACAGCAAAGCTAGCCGTGGCTCCTACAGTTGTCCGTGGTGTTGGGAGCAGTGAGGCAGTGTGTGTAGAGACTGAATTGGTAACAATGATGCCATGACAGCCTAGAGCTTGTGTCTCTGCTGGGAGGCATCTGAGCACCATTCCCAGCTTGGCTTTGGTTCACTGCCTCAAGGTTTGCTTCAGGTCCTTGGATGTAGCTCAGCTCAGTCACCAGCTCAAACCTGCTCACTTTGGTTCATTCCCAACCTGCTGTGTTTAATCTCCCTGCCAGCACCACGAACCAGAAGCTCTGGGCTGCAGAGCTGCAGAAGACCATCTCCAGGGATTACAAGTACGTGCTGCTGGCCTCAGAGCAGCTGGTGGGCGTCTGCCTCTTCGTGTTCATCAGGCCCCAGCACGCTCCCTTTATCAGGTCAGTGAGCCTGGGTCACCTTCGGCGTGCCTCGTGTTGGGAGATAACCCCCAAACGTCCTCAGAGCTGTGTGGGGCTCTGGGAGAGCTGTTCCCCCTTCTGCTGAAGTAGTTCATAAGGTTCTTTTCTCAAATGCCCAGAGAGCACTGGTCGCCCAGAGAGCTTGGAAAGCTGAGGTTGTATCTTGTCAATGCTCAGTGACTGTTGGGACTTTTTAAAACCAGCCTGTGGCTGGGAGAACAGTGTGTCTGTCACACTCAGAGCCAGCTGTGCCAGCTCCTGCAAGGTTTAACAGCTGTTCTGCTGTTGCAGGGATGTTGCTGTGGATACTGTCAAGACTGGCATGGGAGGAGCCACGGGGAACAAGGGGGCCGTGGCCATTCGGATGCTGTTCCACACCTCCAGCCTTTGCTTTGTGTGCAGTCACTTTGCTGCAGGCCAGTCCCAGGTCAAGGAGAGAAATGAAGACTTTGTAGAGATTTCTCGCAAGCTTGGCTTTCCAATGGTAAGGGCTGTGTTCAAATTCCATAACAAATGCCAAGTGAAACCCTTGGAGCCCCAGCAGTGTCATCCCAAAGCTCCATTTGCATTTTTCCCTTTCCCCAGTTTCCTGTGGTAATCAGATTTCCTCGGGTTAGACATCTCAGAGATAACTGAGCTCCCGCAATGTTTATTAAAACAGAATACTGCAGAAAGAACAGACCTTGCCATGATGGAATATTAGTTCATTTGCATTTGGAATCAAGGACTAGGTGTAGTAAAGAGACCTTACAGATCCCTGACATGCAGTAGAACTTTGGTAGGCACAGGAAACAATCACCTATGAGGAAAAATCCCTGCAAAACAGCCCTGTTCTCAGTACGCAGGAATTATTCCATGCCGTGTTCTCATTATCAAATCGCCAAGTTGAAACTGTTATCAGTGCAACAAAATGCTTCTTTGAGACTTAAAGCTGTTTTAAGTTTTGCCATCCAACTTAAATTTGTGAATTTCTGTGGCACTGGGCAGGAGTCTTACATCTTATTTTACAGGGGTTTTATTTTCTAAATTTGTCCCCACTGTCATGTTACAGTTTTCCTAGCAAGTATCCAACAGTTTCCTAAATGCTGTTGTTTCAATCTGCCAGTGTATCTGCTTGGTTTTACTTATGGGCAGTGGAAAAATCAAAACAAAGGGGGAAGTAAAAGTTCTCACTCTAAAATCTGGGCTTTGTTTAAAGTAATAAAGCCCTGATGTGTCTCTCTAGTGATGAAAAGGAGATGGAACTGAAAAGTCTTCAATTAAATGTGAACGGTAAAGCTCTGGATTTGCAGTTTGTCAGGAGACCGTGTCACAGAGTCCCAGGGAGTGTTTTGTTCTCCTCTGTCACAGGCAGCAGCCATCACCTTTGAGCAGGCTTCTGAAACAGGAGGGAGGAAGAGGAAGAGTTTTAGAATCCAATTCACTTGAGTCGTGTTGCTTTAGAAATGGGAACTCCATACGAAATGTCAATTCTCTTGTGTTCCATATATTAACACCACACTGATCATGTTGTTGTAACCATAGGGACAGCGAATACTAGGGTGTGTTTCAGTTGTCTTCATCACCCAGAAATGATACATATTTCACAGCAAAAAACTGAGTTTCTGAACCTGGAAGCAGTAAGTGTGTCACTCATTGCTTTACCTCCAGTGTGTGCTGCCGTTTTGCAGGGAAGGATGCTCTTCTCCCATGACTACATTTTTTGGTGTGGGGACTTCAATTATCGAATAGATCTGCCCAATGAGGAGGTGAAGGAGCTGATCCGACAGCAGAACTGGGATCCCCTCATAGCAGGAGACCAGCTCATCAACCAGAAAAACTCTGGGCAGGTGTGTTCAAATGTCACTGACTTGAGAATACTTCCTTTTATAACTGGTTTTAGCAATTGCTCTGATGCTCCTGTAAATCTGTATCCTCAGCATGCAGTTTGCTAATTATAATATTTTTCTTTTGTGAGATGTAACTATTCAAGAAGAATAATTACAATGTTTGGTAATGTTACTCTGTAGTTAAATTGTAATAGGCCTAATGCTGTTACTGTTGGGAAAAGGACTAGTCCAAATGGTAGCTTTATTTGCAAAGAAAACATGGAATAACCAAGTGTGAAGAAAGCTACATTTTTTACATTTGTTGGGTTTCTTGTTCCCTCTCTGCAGCTCTGTGTGGGAAGGCTGGACATGGTAAAAAGAGAGGCAATCCTCAATTGTTGGTCCTGTCTGCTCACTAGCACTTGGATCACAAGCAGTGCTTTTGCTGATTTAGAGTTTGCTGATTTCCCTTCCATTTGTGCTGGGATCTTGTGCACCAGAACAGGAGGCAAAACACTGGATTTTTTTACTCACTCAGTTGTTTGTTTAACAGCTGTTTGCTAGAGAAAGCAAGGTGTACATTCACACGGTCAGACAGCACTGTCTGTTTGTCACATTGTCTGTCAAGTGGATCAAAACATGATGTGTAGAGGTTGTGGAGACACCTCCAGCGCTTAGAGAGCTGGACAAATCTATGGAAACTACCAGAACATGCAACTGCCAGGAAAGGACTCCTGGCTGGGGAGCAGGAGCAGCATTCCCTGTTGGGCTGATATCCCATGGTTTGGGAACTGCTGGCTGAGTACCAGCTCTGTCCCTGCTGGGGCAGGTTCACATCTGTTCCTGCTGCTCAGGAAAGGTGTTAACACAGCAGCTTGCTCCATTAAAGTAGGTTAGAAAGCAATTACTGAAGCCAAATTAATTGTCTCAGAAGTTGTGAAGCTTCCAGCATTCTGACACTGATCTTCTGACATTGACTTTTAAATTGACTGGATTTCAAATTGTATTTCCAGCAAGAGAAGCAGGTCAGCCTGCCACTTAGTGCAGATTTGACTGTAAGATCCAAGTTAGATTTCTATTTTACACATTTCTGAAGTGAAGGAAAGATGCCCATAGAAGGTTGAACTGCAGAGTAGAGCTGACTGAATTAGCTAAAGGGTTTTATTTTGTGTCCAGCTTAAGCACTTAATGAGTGAGGAGAAGCTCACATGGAATAGATTGAATGTATTAAGGACTCTTCTTGTTTTGTTTTTTTTAATGTATTTATTTGAGGGGGCAACTCGTGTCAGCTTTTTCCTGGAAGAATTTGGGTGGCACCCTGAGCAACCTGGTCTGGTGAATGGCATCCTTGCCCATGGCAAGGGCTTGGAACTGGATGATCTTTAGGGTCCCTTCCCACCCCAACCAGTGTGTGTCTGTTAATTTATGGGAGAATTTGGCATGTTCAGATAGATATAAACCATAAAATGTGCAGCTGAATTCCCCACTTTTGCTGACCCAGGAACCAATAAGCAGCAGAATAAAGTGCTGTGTTACAGGATCAGTGTTCTGGGTGACCTCCAGTCGGTCATGACATTGAAGGAACAGTAGGTCATTCCTAACCCTGGGCTTCAAGATATAACTCCTGGCATACTTCTGTTCATTGGTGATTGTCTGGGTCACTGGTTAGTCATAGTGTCAAATGTGTTTAGTCACAGTGTCAAATGTTTTCAGCAGACAAAATGTGGAGAGGAATCCGTTTTAACAAGTAGCAGGTTTTTAAATTGTGTTTTGAGGTGTTTATACAGGTTGTCAGTGTTAGCATAGAGAACTCTGGTTGGTTTCAGCTGTTTCCCTTGTGTTGGTACAGATTTTCAGGGGGTTTCTGGAAGGGAAGATCAATTTTGCCCCCACGTACAAGTATGACCTGTTCTCTGATGACTACGACACGAGTGAGAAGTGCCGCACGCCGGCGTGGACGGACCGGATCCTCTGGAGGAGGAGGAAGTGGCCCTTTGACCGATCAGGTTTGAGGCTTTCCTTCAGCTGTCTGAAACGTTCTTTACGTGACTCAGAGGATCCATTTAGGGATGCTCACTGTGCCAGTGATGCTGAGCTCCTGTTGCTGGCTTGGTAGGGTACAGCACACTGGTAACAGACCTTCAGTGAACACAGTGAGGCTGAAAGAAAGGGCCATGAATCAGATCCCACTTGCTGACATCTGAGGAGTGGGAAAGGAACTTTGAGCAGGGGGTTTGCTATAAGACACTCTATTTGGATTTACTTCCTGTGTTTTCTCTTTACAATTAGCACATCCTTGCAATCACTGTGTTTTTCCTCCTTTGTCATTGCTGGTTGCAGCTGAAGACCTGGATCTCCTGAATGCCAGTTTCCACAGTGACACTAATGTCCCTTACACATGGAACCCTGGCACTTTGCTGCACTACGGGAGAGCAGAGCTGAAAACATCTGACCACAGGTTCCAATTCCATTTCATACACCACTCCCTGAGATATGCCCATGCTGTGTGTTTTGTTGCTCAGATACTCTGCTGACAGGATTTTCTTGTCTGTTTTTTCCAAGGCCTGTGGTTGCACTGATTGACATTGACATATTTGAAATTGAAGCAGAAGAGAGACAGAAAGTGTACAAGGAGGTGATTGCAACGCAAGGTCCCCCTGATGGCACTGTGATGGTCTCCATCAGAAGTTCTTCAGCTGAAGAAAACTATTTTGATGATAACTTGATCGATGATCTTCTTCAAAAATTCGCAAGCTATGGCGAAGTTATACTTATAAGGTTAAAAAACTTCTTGCTTTTAATCTCTGCTTGTAGACTCATGGGAGTGTTTGGGTTCAAAGGGATCATCCCTGAATAAAGTTATTTCCTTAGGTAGGAAATAACTTTTCAGGTATGATCTGTTTAATTTTTAGCATTTGAATTTCAACTTAAGTGTCTTTAGAATTCTTTTTGCGTACTTAAGTGTCTTTAGAATTCATTTCAGTGTGTCTCAGTTTTCAGACATGATTTTTCCAGATACTCTTATTTTTGAGAACTTTATACAAATGTTGTATTCTAGAATTAGGTTAGTATTTTTAAACTGGAAATGAGGATGTTGCATTTGCACTAGGCTAGCAATTGTACTGTTAAGTGTTGTGGTATTTTGTGGTTATTGTTCCCAATGAACTTTGCAGGTTTGTGGAAGACAAGATGTGGGTAACATTTTTGGAAGGAAGCTCTGCTCTGAATGTTATGAATTTGAATGGTACTGAGGTAATGTAAAAATGACTGAATCTTTGTATAGCAAGAGAAAATTCAGCTTTTTCAAGACTTCTTTAGTGGGTTGGATTTACTGTTTTTCTTTGATTCTTACAAGTTTTTTCTGTTCTGTACTAGACTTTTGCATCTTTGTTTTTTTCCTCTCAGTAGCGACATACCGTATGTTGAGTTTCAAAAGCCATATAAAAGAAGTATCAAACCTCATTTCTCTAACAATATCCTCCTAAAAATAAATTAGGAGCTGTTGAGATGCATCTTCATCAAATGATGGGTTTGGGGTCTTTTATGATTTAAAAAGCAGAGTTTAGTTCCTTGAATTAACCAGTTTAAAATCTTTATAGCCTGCAGTTATTAAAAATTTAGCAATTCTATTCTACAAACTCTGAAAAGTGTCAAAATTTCAGCTTGCATTGACTTCTGTGGGGTCAGTATTTAATCCTTGTGAAAGTTTAACTTCTGATGTTTAAATTTTGACTAGTGTGTGGCTGTTAAGACTTGGAATGTGTGATGTTTGCAGGTGGATCCCTGGGTCTGCTGAGATGTCACTGGCAGGTCAGACAGGAAAGGGGCTCTGGGTAGAATGTCACTTTACAGAATGAGGACCTGCTCTGTGCCAGCCTCTAAAAATGACTTGATTCGTGTAGTTTATAAGCAAGTCTCTTTTTCTTTATAAATAACAGTGTCAGAGTAAAAAAACCAGAAGCTTCCCGATTAACTGAGAAGGAGAACCGTAGGAGAGGAGTTGCTAGTTTTTCTACCAAAAAAATTTAAATGGTTGTAATGAAGAGTTTAAATTACTTAAGTGTAGTTACCTACTAAAATGAAGTGAAAATCAGAATTAGTTTTGTTTAGTCACAGAAATTCCTATAACCTTATTCGTGATATTTTCAGGAATTTTTTTTTTTTCTTTTTAAATCTAAACTGCTGAGCTTTAACATTCCTACTCTAAACAACTTCTCTTTCGTGCATACCTTTTTTGGCAATTCAGCTACAAGGAAGGATTATAAATATCAACTTGAAAAATCCAGATTGGATCAGAAGTTTGGAAGATGAAATGAATCTAGAGAAGATTAATATTGGGCTGCCTTCATCCACAAGCTCCACTTTGCTTTGTGAAGATGCTGAGGTTACTGCAGACTATGACATGGAAGGTTTGTTGAGATAAAGCATTCCTCACTTTGAAATGCTTACAGTCCTGAATGATGTGGTAATTTAATGCATATATAAATGCATATCTAAAACAGATTAGAAATCACGTTGTTTCCAACAGTATCTCGACAATCTGCTTCACTCTCATCTACATTTAAATATATTCTAAAGATACTCAAAATTGACAGTTTACTTTTCAAAAGCACATCTATGTTGAGCCTGTTTTTTTTAAACACCGTTCCACCTTTTGCAAGCAGAAGTTGTTACAAATAACAGATACCCTGAAATCCCCTGCCCAGCCTTCTGAAGAGCAGTGAAGCTTGTCATATTGCAAACCAAGGAAATAACCTGTGAAGATAATTGTTTCTTAGATCAATCAACTTCACATTTGCCACACTGTTACAATTACCTTTAATATATATCTATAATATATATTACACACTTGAAGTATTTTCAACTGGTTTGAATACCTTTGTGTTCTTCATGTGTGATTTTGGGGTGTGAGAATCACACTTTGGTTGCTGAGCTAATTCCTTGGAACTTGGGGGCTTTTCTTTCACAAGATCTCATCTCTATGTGCTTTTCTCCCCTGGGGTGTGTTCTGCAGGAGACGTCGATGACTACAGCGCTGAAGTGGAAGAAATCCTTCCCCAGCACCTGCAGCCGACATCGAGCTCCGGGCTGGGCACGTCCCCGAGCTCCTCCCCGCGCTCCAGCCCCTGCCAGTCCCCGACGCTGCCCGAGGGCCCCGCGCTGCCGGCCAGGCCCAGCCGGGCCCCGGGGAAGGTTCCTGGGCCCCCTGTGTCCTCACAAGGTGGGTGCTGCACAGCCCTCGTGCTTTGGGAGGCTCCTGGGCCCTGTGTGCACACACGGTGGGTACTGCACACTGGCACAGCCCAGTTCTGCTGCGGTGGGTCTCTAGGATCCTGGCTCACCCCAGCCGTCTCTGGGAATACGGCCCCTGACCATCCCTACTCCTGTCAGCTCCAAGACAGAAATTGTAATCAGCACATTTGTAAATTGGGAGCACAATATGAAAACTTCTGTTTAAACACAGCCTTTTTTTAAATTATGAACGTGTGAACACAGTGAGGGTGCTTGGAGTGACTTGGTATTGAGTTTATTTGATCTGCTCAAATGCCTTGAGAATTCCCTCTGTAGCATTTTTTTCCAGAGAACTTAGCTCACAGGTTAGAGCCAAAATCAAAGTGTGGAATGCTGCAATTGGTAAGATTGTTCAGGATTTCATGGAAAACGTAAATTTATTAAAACATATGAGGCAAAAGTTTTGATGTAGGGAATCTGCTTCTTTTCATCATTGGTTCATTCCTCTTGTTTTCCCTCTGTCAAGAACTTCCGTATTGTTATTTAGAAGAGCTTTGCCGTGTTTGGAATGTCCAAGATGTTAATTTGTGCCTTGTTTTCTGCCCTGTCCTCCAGCTGAGTTGCAGGCTGGTGCCCAGCAGAAGGAGCCTCCTGCACAGAGCCTGGAGCCCAAGCGCCCTCCGCCCCCTCGGCCCGTGGCGCCTCCTGCCCGCCCGGCTCCGCCGCAGCGCCCGCCCCCGCCCTCAGGTAACGGGACCTTGTTCTGCTGACCGTGGGTGCCCATGGGGTGCCCACTGCTGACCATGGGGTGCCCATTGGGTGCCCACTGCTGCCCATTGGGTGTCCATTGCTGGCCATTGCCTGTCCGGCTCCTCCGCAGCGCCCGCCTCCCCCTCAGGTACCTGGGGACCTTCCCAGCTGCTCAGGAACTTTTATCTGCTTTCCAGTCTGTGAGAGGGACTGGAAAGTGCAAACCCAAACTGTGTGTTGCGCTTTGGGCTCACTGGTTCTTTAATTGAAATGTTTAATTGGCACATTTAAAAGCAGTGGGAAATAGCAGCATTTTTACCATTTAAATATTATTAGTGAATAAGTTTATAAAAACTTAGTTTCACAGTTTTAAAAATGTGGAATTTTACAGCTATGTTTACTGAACATGTTCATTTTTTGTAGCATCTATTTTAAAGTAAGATAGAAGTAGACTTCTGTATTCATTGATTCATTGCTATTCCTTTAGTTTTGGCATCAGTATATATGTGTTTTATCATGTCCAAGTTTTTAATGTGGAGTTCATTTGGATCATCTGACAATGTGAACAACTGAGCACTAAGAGAAACTGGATGTTCAGAAGCATTTGGGCTACATAGTTAATAACAAAGTGACCCTTGCGATTTTTAACTTTCTCTTTTCTTCCCTCCTACTACACTGACACTTTTCATTATTGCTGCATTCATTTCTTAAATACTGTCAGGCGGTAGGAGTCCTGCACCTGCTAGAAAGGAATTTGGAGGTAATGATTTTAATTGTTTTTGGATATGACTGCGTAGCAAAACTGCTGTGGGGACCTGTTGTGACAGTATTTACCGTGATGATTTCTGAAGGTGTGGAAATGGGCAAGTCTCAAAGTTCCAGAACTGGATAATTCATGAATGTCACTGCCATTTCTTTCTTGCCCCTCTGAACTACGTTACACTTTCTGGTGAAGTAGTATTTCTCCCGAAGTTGGTATTTTAAAGTCAGAGATGAAGGTCGTTCCAGATTTCTATTACTTTGTCCTGAGTGAGCACATTCAGCTAACTTTGCTGTGAAGTGCTTCTCAAAGTAGGCTTTGTCCTTCTCTGGCCCACATTTTCTGTCCTGCTTGGACTTAAATCAGCTCATCAATACATGAGGGAGGGTGAGAAGTGCTAGTGGCAATTCCAGGCACTGCCCCTCAGCTGGTAGGAAAGAGACATTTTTGACAAAACGCTTCCAAAGTTTGGAGTAATCTCAGAAAATACATGAGCTATTTTAAATAGTCTGTAACTATCAGGTAACTTTGGTGTCAGGCAAAAATGTACTTGGCTCTGAAATACTGGTGAGACAAGGAAGGTTTCATGCCCAACGTGGAATATTTCAGCTGAGTTAAAATGCAGAAGCTTTAGCAAGCTGTTGATAGACCACATTGAACATAGGTGAGATTTAATTCATTGTTCTCCAGTCCTGTGTGGTTTTCTGTGCACTGACACAATCCTGTTTGCCTGGTTTGTCTCAATTGTGCAAAGACTACTCAGTTCTCTTCTTTTATCGCCTTTCACAACACAGCTTTCCATAAAGTTGTAACTTGCATAAAACTTGCTTTTTATGCAATCATTTGAGATGCTAGTATATTTTTTTCATATGTTATTTCAACCAGAAGCTCTTTACTTTTTTCTGCTCTCCATTTTCCACTCATGGTGTACATGTGTAAGCATGAAGAGCGATTTTCATGGGTACCTGAGCTCAGCTCCAAGCAAGTTAGCCCAGGGCTGGAACCAAAATCAGTGTCCTTATGCGTGACTGTAGTGTGGAAAGGCACCTGTTTCTCTTCCCTAGGAGCAAGGCTCTGGAAGCTCTGTGGAATATCCCTGTGTAGTGTCTAAGTGGCTCAGACTTTGGGTTTAGACTTGCATAGCACATGCAAAGAGACTTTGATCATGTCTTTTAAATGTTGTGCCTTATAAATAAACTTTTTTTCCTCACGTATTTTGACCTTTTTTCCCCCAAGTGCTTCAGTCCCTTCATTGCCCATGGCACTTTTTCTAATGCCTCAGTATGCTTTGAAGATGAGAGAAGGTTTTGGGCATCTAAGTGTTTTATTTTGGTCCTATTTTATATCAGAAGTAACTCAGAGTTCAGGTGAACAAGGCTCTGCACTCATTGCAGGGCTTTACAAAGTGGAGACCTTTTGTATGCTAATACAAAAAAAATTCACTGAGGATCCTACAAGTTCCAGTTGTTTATAGTTAAAAATTAAAATGTTGCCCTCTGTTTACCCAGTGTTTTTGTAATACATTACAGATTAAGTTTTCAGAGAACATTAAAAACTCTAAAGGCTGCTAATTGTCAATTGACATTAATAAATAACATTTGTGGAGTTTTTTCCTTTAATACTGTTAGACAGTTTTCCTGGTTGTTGCAGCCAAGGCTTTTATAATTGGTTTAAAATATTTTTTATTGTCCCTAAGATTGAAATAGTCCCATGCTGCCCTTTGTGATAGCATTATCACAGCACAATAATTTTGCTTTCCCGCTATTGAAGAGAAGTATGAGTCAGTGAAATGAGTACTAGGAGTAAGTGAAATGTCAGGTATTTACCCTCTGTGCTGTTTCTGCCCCTTGTAGTGAACGTTGGTTACCTTGCCCAATCTTCACGCCAGAGATCTTGCTCCCTGTGCCTGGTGCACCGATGCAGGAACGTGTGCCCGTGTCCCCCTGCTGCTGGGAGCTGCCTTTGGTCCTGGTCCTGCACAGAACAAGAGCAGAGGGATGTTGTCAGGCAGTGCCCTGCTCCTGTGCAGCCCCACTGCTGCTCCTCTCACAGAGTTAGTTATTCATGGTCAGAATTGTGAGGGGAGTTGGCAGAGCCTGGCTCTCAGCCAGAGCAGATAACACATGCTGGGGCTGAGCATCTTTGAAACAGATCTTCAGCCAAAGCAGAGATCCAGCATCTCTGGAGCCAGTCCCATTTCAGCCCCAAGTGCAGCCTTCACTCTGCCCACTCTGTGACTGACAGAGCTTACAGATCACAGGGAGCTCCTGGGCACATCTCACACTGGCGAGACAGCAGCAGGCTGTGTCACAGCTGAGGGATTTAGCAGCAGGCTGTGTCACAGCTAGGAGATGCCTTCAGTGTTCCCATCATGGCTATGTCCTGCCCTGTTTTTGCCATAGTTTTAGGAACCCAGTGCATGCTTGATGATATTGCAGAAATAAAGTAATTCAGCATGGTTATGCATGATTGAAAACCTTTTCTCTCAATCTGAGCTGTTAAACCAATGGGTGCAGCTGTCCCAAGTGCAGTGCTGTGTAGAGGCAGCTCAGTAATAGAGTTCTTCAGGATACACTGCGTTACATGAGGTGGGAGGTATTGCTTTATCACATTTCCTATTCAGTGCACCATGGCACAAACAGACTGCGCAGTGTTCTGAATGGCAGGGATCAGGCTTGATTCTGCAGGGTGACAGAGCTGTGCTCATTTACTGCCCACTGTTTGAGCACAGCTCTGTGCTCTGCTCAGTTCAAGACTGGCATGTCACATCACACGGGATAGCCAAAGGTTTGTGTAGAGTGAACATTCTGAAGGAATCAAATTCAACTATAATTAAAATTGAAGTAACGGGTATTACTAAACATGATTATACCTGATGGTTTGTAATTCACACCAGTCTGGTCCCCCAAGCTGCTAAAGAGAGTTGTTTCCTACAGGTGACTGTAATCTATCCAGACCAGAGATAAATTTTGTAAAGCTGTCTTGTGGCAGTGCTCTTTCTGCTTTTTCTTTCTCAATCTACTGCTTTTCTTATGCTATGTACAGCTTCTCTTCTTTCTCTGAAAAGGTCTTGGAGCTCCTCCCAGTCCTGGGGTAGCTAGGAGAGAAGTAGAAGGTAACACAACAATTTTTGTGTTCTAGAAATGGATTTCTGATTTAACATCTGAATAATATTGTTGCTCTTGTGACGCTAAAGGTGGCTTCATTAACGCATTTATTGTGTAGGGTCTTTGTTGTTTTATTTAGCATAGCTTTCACCCAGCCAGGCTGCTTCCTGCTTTTCAGTGGTGATGGGGATTGTTACAGAAGGCATTTATGAAAAGCTTAGAGAGCTCTGATCAAGAATGCCTTTAAGGCTGACACTGAGAGGAAGCTGTAGCTGCTGGTCATCAGAGTGACCATTGCACCTGTAACTAAATCAGGAATCCAGGGAGCCTGACTTTTCGTAAAGGACTGTGGGTTTGTATATTCTGGGGAGAGAGGCTTCCATTTCAAAAATTTGGTCTATAATTTTATGTTTTGCCTCTTTTTAAAGAGCACAGTGTAGATGTTTTGATTCTGATAGCCAGCTCTGTGTAACACACAGTTCTGAGCAGCGTTTCCCTTGCACCTTTCTGCTTGGAGTACATGGGATTATTGTGGATGGGTCCTGCTTTAGCCATGCCTGCAGAGTCATGGGCTGGGGTTTCTTCCTTGTCTCTCAGGAACGTGTCCTTCACAGCAAATAGCAATGCAAGTCCTGATAGAGTCACCGGCAGGGTTTCCTCCAGGATGCTGCCATTAATTTTGGCTGCATTGCTGGTTCATTTTTCTAAATTGGCAAAACCACTCTATGTGTAGAATATTTGTGGTGGGAAGGCCCCTTCGGTGATTATCCTCTCCAGCTCCGTGCTCCAAGGAGGGTGAACTGGCACCAGGTTGCTCAGGGTGGGAGCTGCTTCCCTGAGAACAGCCCCAGAAACCCGTTCTGACTGGCTCCAGGGCAGGCTGATAGCTGGAGGCTGATTTGATCAAGTGAGTGATGCACCACAGAGTTCCTTCCACTGACTGCCACTGGCATGGTGACTTTGCCTTCCTGGGGAATAAGCAGCAGAAACTCAAGCCAGAGTCCCAGACCTCCCTGCCTGTTAGAAATTGTGGAATTGTCTGAAGTAAAGGTATTTTTGTAATCTCTTGCCCTGCCCAGTTGGCATGTTGCATGTGAAGGCTGCCCTCAGCGTGGCCATGGTGAAGCTGGGGCTCTGACACATTTATCCCATAAACAGAGTGGGGACAGGAACTGTCCATCTGCTCTCTTTGGTTTAACCCCTGCTGGTAGAACATCAACAGAATATACCAGAAAGCACAACAGCTTCCATCCAACACCATTGAGAACACAGGGGATCTGTACAAGTGGTGTCTTTAGCTTGCAACAAATAGGATGTGATTTAAACAATCTGTAATAAAAAGGGTCAAATGACTTCGTGTGTGCCATGGGATGGGAGTGTGTTACTGACAGTGGGTGGATATGTTATAGATTTTGAAAAGTCACTGCTATCTCCTTGCTTCTATCTCAGTAGCTGTAATGTAACATTGCCCTCTAATACCCATTTGTGCTTATCTAACACAGACAATCTGTTTGTTTTCCATGCTGCAAAGCACAAAAAAGCCCTGGAACACAAAGAAAAGATACCTTAGGTAATAGACATGTGCTTTGTACTAACTATTATACAGACAGACGTTGATTTTGCAGTGAGTGCTCAGTCAGTGATCTCTGCTCTCTGTTCCAGCTCGGACTCAGCCTCCACCCTCGGCGGGTGCAGCCAGACCGGTAGGTGTGGTTTTAATGTTTGGAGATCATTGTCCTGCTCAGTGTCTGCTCTTTGTTACATCCACGTTTCTGTTAGTCACAGCACACGTAAGAAATCTACAGAGTTAATGATCTCAACAGTTTTTGTCTGTTGACTGAAAATACTGTGGGGTGAGGGGAAGCCACCATGTGTGCTCAGACTGGATGGGACTGGATTGTTTTGCACTCTGCAATCACACAATAGGCTCCCAAATACACATTTGACATCTCCTTTCAAATAACTGCAAGGTTACTGTTTTTATTCTATGTCTGTGCTGATTTGGTGTGATAAAATGCATTATCTTCTGCACTGAAACATAAATCGTGCCAGCAGTTAATTGCTGACAGGCCATTAATGGTTACTGTGCAATTGAGGTTTTCTGATGTACCTTGTTTTAAAGACTAATTTTCATAAGAGTCTTCATGTGAAAATGAAACCTTCAACTCTTTCATCAGATATTAGTACTGTGTTCCATTCCTCTGTTTGTGGAACTGAACTGAAGGAGGGAAGGAAGGGATTTATGGGCATTCAGATGGTTCACCCCACACAGGAAACCAAGAGATGAAATCTATCTGCCTAGTTTATTCTCAACAGAAGCAAGTAGGAACCTTATGGGAGGGAAGAGGAAAGTGTTTGAATAGCTACAGGTGTTCTTAAAGAGTTACTGAGTAATGGGACTGTCTGTTGATAATTCTGTGACTTTGCAGCATATTCCAATATTGGAACTAATGAAAACTGCTGTTGAAAGTCTCCCTTGAAGCCAATTGTACAGATTCATTTTTCTCAAAGAGATTGATTCTTACAGTGAACCATTCATGATCTTTTTTTTTTTTTTTTATTTTTTATTCTTCTGGAAATGTAAAATGGCCTCTTCTAAAATTTGGGCAAAGAAAAAGTGGTATATATAGGCAAGAATGTGTTCGTTTTTCACTGTGTGGTTGCCTTTGTCTCAGGTGATTGTTGGATTTCATCTCAGGGATTTCAGGACCAGGGACAGTAGCTACAGTGGGTGCTGCTTCTCACTGAGGGATCCTGAGAGCTGCTTTACACTTTTCTTTTCTGTTCCTTTTTGGTATATTTTTATTTTTTAAAAATACATTTTGGTGTATAATCCCATCATCCTCCTGCCTACTATCAGAATATTGAAAGAAATAACAAAATGCATCTTGGCGATCTCAGATCAGATAGGAGATTCAGGAATTCAGACAGGAATTTGAGGTCAGGTGGCTGAGAGAGTTCAGGACGTTGGTCAATGGACCCAGCCAAGCATAAGCAATCACGTGATACAAAGCCAGGGACATAGCTAGTAAAACTAAGATCAACAATTAGACTATTTTTTATAGTATTCACTTGTTTCTAATGAATTTTTGTGTAGAGTTGTGCAATGAAATTTGCTCTGAAAACCATTTCTAGCATGTCCTCGGGTACACAACATTTTACAGGAAACAAGTCTTACAAACTTGTCTCTCAGTCCTTCCTGTCTCTCAGTCCTTTTCCCTTCTGGCATTTTTATCCCAGGGCCTTTTATTCAGCTTTCACTGTGTTGTTTGTAATTTACTGTTATAATTCTAATCTGGAATAGCTTCCTATGTGTCTTCAAATACTGATGTAGACTTTGAAATTTACATTCCCAGCACATTAACTTCTATTCCATCAGCCTCAGGGAGACTTCAGCCTTCAGATGACACAGGATGTGTTTCATTAATACTGTTTGATGACAAGCAGACCTCCAAATAAAGTAGTTGCTCTTGTTGCTTTTGTTGCTTACAATTCGTGGACTGAGGTAAATTATCTTATTAAGACTAGCAAACGAATAACTGTTTCTAGCATTGTTGCACAGGTAAGCATTTATATAAAGTTGAAAAGCATTGTAAAAATACTTTGCTTTGAATTGAACCATCATAATGTTTTGAAAATATATTCTTTGTTCTTGCATGTGCATAAAAACATCAGTTGAGCAGCTGTTATAAAAGAATTTGTTGTTCACAGAGTCCCGGTTATTCTGTGAAATAATCAGGATTATTCTGAATCATTTAGCAGTAGGTGACTGCAGCTCTAAAGCTGCACTGAAATCCTTTCTTTTGCCGCCTTTGCTGTCAGACTGTTCCTCCCCGAGCCGGAGTTATCAGTGCCCCGCAAAGCCATGTCCGTCCCTCAGGGGCACGAGCGGCGCCGGAGGCGCAGCCCAAGGCAGCGGAACCGCCACGGGGTGAGTTCAATCCAAATGTCCCGTTCTGCCGAGTGCTGCAGTCTGCTTTGAGTGCTTTGTTCTCAACAGATGTCTCCACTTTTCACTAGGAATAAGATTCTTGGATGTGATAGCATTGGGCAGTTTGTGTTAGGCACCCACTAGTATTGCATTTTGGATGCTAATCTCAAAATCAGCCATAGATTCTGTGGTATCAGAGAAACTGTGCAAAGATGGCAGGGTTTGGTCTGAGCACCCTGGTCTGTCACAGTCTGGCCATTGATCACCACATGCTCTATGCATTGTTCTGTGATCATAAGATGTGGAATAGCATTCATGTCTGACTCTCAAAACAACTTCCTGAACTTACAGTTTAAAAAAACCCTTTATCTTTTTATGTATAAAAATACACATTTTATAATAGTGGCTTCCAAAATACTGTTCAGTATAACTGAAGCTCGTTTTGGGGTGGCATGGTTTGTGTTTTGTGTAAAACCACAGCATGGTTTGTGTTGGAAGGGACCTTGGGGATGAATTCCAAGCCCCTGCCTTTGGTCAGGGCCACCTTCCACCAAACTTCATCTGCCCTGGCCTTGGACATTCCAGGGATCCAGGGGCAGCCACAGCTGCTCTGGGCACCCTGTGTCAGGGCCTGCCTGCCCTCACAGGAAGGAATTCCTTCCTGCTATCCCATCTAACCCTGCCCTCTGCCACTTAAACTTGAGTAGCAATTTCTGCTGTTCTCACAGCCCCTTCTCTGCAGTTCCCTCTGGTGCTTCCTGATCCTGCCATCCCCAATACTGTTAGGGGATATACTTGTTACATACAAGGTTACTGTTCCTTGCCCTGACGGTCGCTGCCGTGTCCTTGCAGGCGTGCCGCTGCTCCCGGAGCCGCTGAGGCCGCAGGCTGCGGGCCCTGCCCAGCCCAGCCCCGCGGTGCTGAGGCTGCAGGAGCCCCTGGTGCCCGTGGCGGCCCCGCAGAGCCTGGAGCCCCCGCAGCCGCCGCCGCGCAGCCGCTCCTCTCACAGTTTGCCTTCGGAGCCTGCTCCCTCCCAGCAACACGTGAGTAAAGCCCTGCAGGGACCTCCTGTCGCTGTGTGAGTGAGCACAGCTCGTGCTGGTGCTGCAGGCTTCTGAGGAACCCTCAAAGCGGGCACAGAAACAAAAACAAGGGTCCAGAGATCGGGTTCAATGGTCCTGGGGCTCAAGGAGAGTAGTAATGGCTTGTGTATTGTCCTTGAATAACTAACATCTTAAATACTAAACATTGAATTTCGGATTTCTTGTGATAGCCTTACAGTTTATGGGCAGCTCAGTCTTAAAATGATGTTGTCATTTGGCAACTTTGTATGGAAAAGCTCTCGATCAAGGCAATCTGATTTGATAATGCTATGTGCATGACAAGCTGCGCAGTAAGGCAGCACAGGTTTAAATTGTTACTGCATGGTGTGGTGCTTGGTGTTGGTGATCACTCATTGAAGGGAGATGACATTGATAAGTAAGTAAATAAGTCTAATCAATATATTAATAAATACTTGAGAGAAATAGAATTCTTCCCATTCCTCAGTGTCAGTTAAAATACTTATCCACATAATGTGGAAATTTCATACGGTAACATTAACGTTTTGTTTTCTCTGGGATAATTTAGACTGTTATGATAAAAAACACCAACTTTTTCTAGGAAAAGCCCTAATTTCTTATTGCTGCTTAAAAATGCAGAAGCAGATTTTCAGTGCTGCTCAGGTTTCTTCTTTTGCCTGTATCTGAAGCCCTTTTTTGCTACAGTAGTTAATGCCTATGTTGTACCACAGTGAAGCAGCCAAATTCAGTGCTCAGGGAGCTGATTTTTGAACTCAAACTGGAAAAATCTTAAAATGCTTTTCCTTTGTTTCTCCTGAGCCTCTTTCTTTGCCTGTGAACTGCCTTTCATTTTGGAAACTTAGACCAAAAAGTGCAGGTTTCTGAGGAAACGGCTTTAAAGAAGTGCAAGGTCTTTTGAGAAGTAGTGAATTCCATGCCATCCTTCTATGCAAATCTTGATTATGATTTTGGAGAAATGAAATCTGTTCTTATAAAAATAATGACTGGTACAGTGTGAATATTCAGGAGTTTATACAATCTCCACACTGAAAAAGAGAATTAGTTACTGGAAATAGATCTTTATTGCAAAGAAGGGAGATTCTGGATTTCCACAGAAGGAGAGGCATATGGGTTTTATCAGCTTGCAAAACTATTTCTCTACATCAGGGATGATACTGACACAGTTCCCAGAATGAGAGCTGTGGGGTTTTCATGGTAATAGGTGACTAGAATTAGACCATCCATGCTCAGATTCCTGTAATTTGTCTCCAAAAAGTAGCACAATCAGCTGCACAATGGGTGTCTGTATGGAAATATCATTAAATGGACTTGAGTTGGTTTTTTATGACTCCTAATGGTTGAGCTTACAGTAGAAGACAACAGAAATGGAAAATTTAGTGTAGTGTGTAGTAAACACTTGTGGTTTGTATTCAAAACTCAAAAAATGGCTTTGTGAAAACTTCTGAAAGTATTATTTTTAACGCGAGGTTGCTTTGTTACTTGGATTTTCTTGCTAATTTCCTTGCTCTGATATGTGTTTCTCTTTCACAAGCAGGAGCAACCGTCAGGGTAACAGGTATCTGACTATTTCCCAGTCTTGTTGTGGCTCCATCCATTTAGCGGCAGAGATGTATGAATGGTGTTTCATACATCTGCAGCCCCATCCCGTTAAACACACCTGTCTGCATCCATGGGTGACTGTCATACCACAGTGTGCTTTTTCCTTTCATGGTGCATTGAACATGACACTGCTGTTATTAAGGCCAGAAAGACTATTGTGTGTCATCATCTTTTTGTGAAACAATTGGGCCTTTGCCTGTGTTGCTTAGGCACTGCTGAGCCTCCTGATCTCGGGCTGTTCAGGGGAAAACAGATCAGTGTTGGCAATTTGATGCACATAAATCCTGATTCTTCTGCACTGCCACATGCTATTTCAGAATAAACCCCATATATCACATTTCTCAGGGAACAGAGACCTTGCTGTGACCCAGAGTAAAACAAACTGTTACAATTTTAAAAACACTTGGTTCCAGAATTACTCCAAGCAAGTTTTTACTTAGAACGAGGAGCAATTTGGATTCATGGTTTCTTTGGGATCTTGTACTTTCAAAAGGCCACAGGACTTAACCAGCTGGTGCCAGGCTGCATTAGATTTCTATTCCTTCTACAGTTCAATTTTTCGCATTTTTTCCTGTGTTACTCAGTGCCTTTGTTTTAATATTATTCTGCTAAAAACTTCAACTGTAGACAGTCAATTCAGTTGTTTTGGTATATTAAATTTATCTGCTAATTTGTCATAAAATCTTTTTGTGACATTTGAACTCTTAGAAGCCGTTTTTACTTAAGCTTAACTCATTTGATAAGGGGAAGCTCCAAACTCTGTTCTGTCAGTGTGCATACTGAGCAAAGTAGATACTCCACCTTTTTGGACAGCTTGTACGAAGTAAAAAATACCTTGCATTGTTGTTTGAAGCAGTGTGTAAAACCAGGAATATTTTGGTTTTAAAAGCTGAGAAATTCTGTGGGAAAAACTGTCTTCTCCAAGGATAACTTGTTGTTTTAATTAGCGATTGTCCCTTTTCATGCCAAGAAGAAAGAGATGCTTATGGATGCCTGCCTACGTAGCAGTGTCTGACTGCACACACTAATAGCACTAATGTTGCCTTTCATTGTGGTGCTTTAATGCTGCTTGTAACATCAGTGTGGTAAACTCCGAACAATGTAACCTGAGCTTTTCATTCCATAGCTGTGCTGGGCTGTCCCTTGCTTAGAATCCAGTGTCCCTCGCTTAGCATCCATTTCCCGAACATTTTCCCATGCCAAGTTCCCTTAGTGTTTGTTGCTGGGATTGGGGCCTGCAGGGAGTAGGTTCCAGCTGCATTCCCCACCGAGGCGGGGGGAATGGTGTTTAACACTTACAGGCTGTTCTTCAGACAGAGGGGGTTCAGGCTGCTGTTACAGCTCTAGTTATAACAAAACTGGGTTGAAGTTGGAGCTGGGGAGTGAGAAGGGGGCAGTGGGAATACCCTGGAGCCAGCTGCATGATTCCTGAGCGTGTTGCTTCCTTTGCAGCAGAATCCCAACGGGACGCTCGGCACTAACCCTGAACCCCAGCTCAGCAGTGACCCTTTTGAAGACCTGTCATTCCAGCTGCTCGTGTCCAAGATGCAGAGTTCTGTCCGAACATCACCCGCTCCAACCTCAAACCAGAAGGAGTTGATACAGTTGCCTTCAGCAAGGCAAAGAAATGCGGAGAATTCGAATCCTGTAAATTGCATGTCAGCAACGCCTCCTATTCCAACCTTCCACTCATCCCAGGAACATCAGCGCAGCTCTCCAAACCCATTTATTACTGGGCTGAACTGCTCAAATCCATTCACAGAAAGAACTCCTAGTGCTGGGAACCCATTTAGGATGGAGACACGGGAGTCCAGGATCCCCTCACAGGCACTGGCAGGAGCTGCTGCTCCCCACCCGTTCCCTGTTCTGCCCCCGCCCGGCTGTGGCACAAGCAAGCCTCTGTTTCCTGCGGGTGCAGCTGCAAACGCCTTTTGCCTGCGCAGTAAATCTCTCAAGGTGGAGAATGTGCAGCCCAGGGGCTGGGTGACGTTTGACGAGGACGAGGCCTTCCCCACCAAGCTGAAGCCATCCGCCAGCGTCCCGGATTTTACCCAGCTCGGCCCCGGGAAGCCGGCCGGGTGCCCGGCCCTGCTGGGAGCTGAGCACAAACCCTTCCTCGGGTCGGACTTTGCCTTGGATGGGGACTGGAGTCAGAGTGCTGCTGACTGCCTCTGCACGCTGCCGGCCAGAAAGCCGCCTGCCCCCCCCGTGCCGTCCAGGGCAGGCAGCAGCAGGTGCCCTGCAGAGCCCTCCCTGGCACCCAGGGTGTCGCCAAGCCATGGCTTCACAGAGAGATAGATAGGTGGCCGGAAATGCAGAAGGTTGTATTTGTTTCATGGTTTTACAGACAGATAGGTGGCCGGAGATGCACAAGGTTGTATTCCTTCCTACGTTTTATCCAGTAGAATAATTGGGCATTTGAGATTATTCTGTGTGCAATAATTAATTGTTAAATGCACTGAAACTTAACTCTGCTCGTAAACAGCCACTTCAGCTTGTGTATAAACTTTGAATGTGTATATATGGTAGAGCACAACAAATGGTCAGAAGTTTATGGAAATCTCGGTGTAATAGTGTTTGAATAGACAAAGAGAAGAAGGGTGAGCTACTGTCTCACTAAAACCTGTCAATCCTGGACACAGATTTTGCTTAGGGAGCTCTTTCATTTCTGTTCTCCTCTGTGGAATTCCACAAGAAGAGGCTCCCTGCTGGCAGCCTCCCCCCTCCCTTTTGACTGTTTTGTTAGTTGATATTTATAAGTATTTACCAAAGAGCTGCCAAAGTTTATGGAGATTTGAATGTTGACAAGTATTGTTTAGAAGCTGTTTAATTTATAACAGAGGCTATGGGTATTTGTAAGGCTTATATTTGAATTTGAGGCACAACAAAAATAGTTTACTTTCAAAATAGAAACAAAACTTTGCATATTAATATATTCAATTAATCTCCTGTGTCAGTACATTTCAGTTGTTAGATCCTATTGTGACCTACACTCACTAGCACTAATTCAGAATAATTGTTTCATATCATCCATTTAGTCATTACTAGTTTAACTATACTTCTTTTTTTTTTTCCGCAAACTGGAAACAGCTGATACAGCAAGCTTTTCCTCAACCTCTGAAAAACCCCCTTTGGCTTTTGAGATACAAAGCAGTATTTGCCAGTGGCAGGCCGTGTAGTGTGCCAGCCAGGGGGTGAACAGCACACTTGGATTGTATTTAGAGTAGTGCAATATCCCACGGCAGCACGCTTTGGAAAGCCTCAGATGCTCTCACAACATGATCCATGAAATAATCCATGACATAATCCACGATTCCTTCGGACAGCCCTGGTTAGCCACGAGCTGCAGCCGCCTAGAGGAGTGATAGTGAGTTTCTATTGCGCTTTTTCTGTTCAGGTCATTCCAGTTGTACACTTGGAACAGCAGTGGTACTACGTGTGCTTCGGTGTGTGAGTTCCTTGTTTCACGCTGTCGCTGCAGACATCCAGCAGTGTGGTTGATGTTTTGGTATATCCTTACGTTAGCAAACCAAATTCAGGGGGGAACTTTTGCTAGTGGGAGTCACGTGATAAAATATGTTGTCGAATATTTAATGGCAGTGATTAAAAACTATCTGTCTGAACCGTACCCGGCGTGCGGCTCCTCTGCGCCTCACAGGACTGCGGGGGCCACAGGGAATGCGCCAAAATTTCAGGGTCTGCATATATGTGTGTATGTTTATATATGTGAGCTGCAGTGAGGCCCTGCCTGTGTTGATGGGAGCAATGAGCAGCAGCAGACGTTCTGCAAACACGGAGGATGGAGGTGAGACCCACTGCCCACGTGTCCCTGGACTCTGTTTCCATGGCTGTATCCCCAGGGACACCCAGGTATGCCTGAAATGTTCCCATCCTTATGGTCTGGGTGGTCATTCTCTCTCTGTGCCCCCGTGCTACCAAATCCTCCTGAATCAGCAGGATAAATTAAACCCTCTACAAACTGTCATTTTAGTGTCAGCAAGTTAGGTATTCCTTTATTCTTGGCCAGGGACTGTGTGCCTGACAGAATTCCGGCCTCCACATGGACACTGATATGGAACTTTTTCACTTATTTAAACATTTTTAGTAAACAAAGACATTAACATTCATACGTTCTAAATTATATCATTATCTTTGATTAATTAGCATTTAGTCATTTATTGGTGAGTGATTTCTCACTTCTTGTGCTAATTAGTGCAAATTTTTTGTCTTTTTGTACCTTTCCCTTTAGTAGGGAATTTCTGGTGCATATACGGAGTTTTTCTGGTTTTTTTTCTGCATAGTGTCCCCTTGTGATCCATGAATTCTGCATTCTCAATGTCCAACCTCCCCAGTCCCTCTTTCTCTCCTGGGCTTTATTCATTGGAAATATCAGAGTTAGTTTATCAAAACTGAATGTTTCAGGCCTTTTCCCAGGCTGTCCTCACAGAAGTAGCTTGTAACAACTTTGCTAAGTATCACCTGAGCATAATTTAAGAGTAGTCCTCTGCTTATAATTGATATAAAAATAGCTGATGATTAATTAGAACAATTAATTTAAGAGGTAATTAAACTCCTTACTTGCAATTAGGAAGACGTTCTGCCCTTCCCCTCACGGGGCAGGGCGCGCGGGCCCTTTGAGGGCTCCCGTGCCCTCACGGGGTGGTCGGAAGTGCCACTACTTATAATTTGTATAAATATAGCTGCTACTTAAAATTTATATAAATATAGCTGATTATTAATAAGAACAATCAATTGAAGAGGTAATTAAACTCCTTACTTTCAATTAGTGAGACTTTCTGCCGTTCCCCTCACGAGGCGGGGTACGCGGGCCCTTTAAGGGCTCCCGTGCCCTCACGGAGTGGTCGGAAGTACCACTACGTATAATTTACATAAATATAGCTGCTACTTATAAATTATATAAATATAGCTGATGACTAATTAAAACAATTAATTTAAGAGGTGATTAAACTCCTTACCTGCAGTTAGCGGGACATTCGGTCGTTCTCCACACGGGGCAGGGCGCGCGGGCCCTTTAAGCGCTCCCGTGCCCTCACGGGGAGGCCGGAAGGGGAAGCAGCGGCGGCACCGGCGGAGGCGCCGTTGCTGCGGGACCGGAGCCTCCCGAAGGATCCCGGCGGATCCCGGTGCTACCGGCGGGGGCGGCAGCTGCCCCCCGCGCCCTCAGGGCCCCCCGAAGCGGCGGGCGCGGCCGGTGCCCGCGGTGCCTCCCTGCCGCCGGTATCCAGGGACTCGGCTCCGTTGCTGAGGGGGCGCCCGGGCCGGCCATGGTGCGGCTGCACGTCAAGCGCGGCGGCGAGAGCGAGTTCCTGCTGGAGGCGCCGGGCAGCGCCCGCCTGGCCGAGCTGGCGCCGCTGGTCGCCCGCATCCACAACGGGCGGCTGAAGGTGCAGCGCCTGTGCGCAGGTACCGCGGGGCCGCGGCGGGCGGGAGCGGCTCCGCTCCTGGCGGGCTCGGTGCGAATTCCCGCCTTCGGTGTCCAGTGAGGCCCCTGCAAAGCGCTGAAACCTCTCCCGCTGCGTGTGCCGGCGGCGGCTGCTTAAATCAGGGAATCGCGGAATTGTTTGGTTTAGACCTCAAAGCTCTCGCAGTCCCACCCCTGCCATGGCAAGGACATCTTCCGCTGTCCCAGGTGCTCCAAGCCCCGTCCAGCCTGGCCTTGGGCACTGCCAGCGTTCTGGGAGCAGCCACAGCTGCTCTGGGCACCCAGTGCCAGGGCCTCAGCGCCCTCACAGGGAAGCATTTCTCCTCAGTATCCCATCTATCCCTGCCCTGTGGCGCCTTGAACACGTTCCCCCTTGTCCTGGTACGCCAGGCCCTTGGCTACGGTCCCTTGTCCAGAGTCCTCCTTCAGGGCGCTGTGAGGTGCTCCCTCCTGCCCAGCAGCTTCCGAGGCAGCTTTAAAAAACATTTCCGATTCCCGCCGTGGGGCTGTGAGAGCAGAGATTTGTGTCAGGTAAGCCTGACCTGGGGCTGCGGCCCACCCACAGCTGCTGTGCAACAGCCACGGTGTTTGTTGGGTGTCTGAGGCTGAACTGATGCTACTCTGAAATTTAAAAAAAAATCTGACCAGGGAAATACCAAAAAGAAAAGGTTTGTGGCCACTAAGTGCCATAAGGGTTTGTATCCTGCATGTGTAATTTGTTACATTGTTTTATGGGTATGTAAAATGTATAAATTTCAACATAATTACACCATCCGTATCTATACATGTCTGTTTATATCCCTTATGCTTTATTCCCTGCATTTACCTGTTTGGAAACTAAAAGCTAGGGGCAAGTTTTCCCCTCATGTACATCATGTGAAAGGCTTTTGTTAATGGACTGTAGTAACAGAAACTTTTAATCTTGTTCTCTAAACTCTCTAAAGAGATGGAGGAGCTGGCAGAGCATGGCATTTCCTTACCTTACAACATGCAAGGACTGACAGATGAGCAGATTGAAGAGCTGAAGTTAAAGGACGAGTGGGCAGAGAAGTGTGTCCCAAGTGGTGGGAGCGTCTTCAGGAAGGATGAAATGGGGCGAAGAA